ATCTAATTCTCTACCTTCTGTCAAATTTTGAGTAATTTCCATTGACCGTAAGTAGTAATTTACGCTATTTTCGATTTCTCAAAAAACGCATGTAAATTTATAAAGTACTAATAATATTGCGCACATTTTTTATGCACATTTTTTTGTGTGTTCGCTTGGTGCGCAATTCTTTTTTCTATGAGATTCTATTCTATTTTTACAAGCTTTTATTTAACTCACTTCCTCTGTCGACAGTCTGTCTGTCTAGACGGAAACGCAGGAGTGAAAATTCGGACAGTTCTACTTGACCGATACGATTCACAGTTGGCACGTGGGTCAAGACATGAAGACAATGCAATCTGAATCTAAATTTGACTTAATTGGATGCCTAATTAATTTTTTATGAATTAATTAAAATTTTGACCGAATTAGTAGGCATGTCTAGCCAACCACACCACACGCGTCATCACCTTCAATAGCTACGCCATCACGTAATGGCTGCGTTCAAAAACCATTGCGCGCCTACTGAACGTGATGTTCAGTAGGCGCGCAATGGTTTTTAGTCATGTAACTCTATTGTAAATAAAACATGTAAAGTACTGAAAAAAAATTCATAAAAAACGTTTTAATAACAAGCTTTTATGTAATGATGCACTAAAAAGTAGAAAATAAATTATAGACTACTATTTAAATAACTATAAAGAAAAGCGTGGGTGTCTTCCTTAACATTAGTAAAGGTATCCAATAGATACTAAAGTGACCCACGCTTTTCTTTATAGTTATTTAAATAGTAGTCTATAATTTATTTTCTACTTTTTAGTGCATCATTACATAAAAGCTTGTTATTAAAACGTTTTTTATGAATTTTTAAAAAAAGTTTAAGTAATTAAAAATCATGTTTATATTCCAAGTTATATAAGAATATTCGAGAAAGTTTAGGGAAGATCACTCCCGGTTTATTAAAGAAGATTCCAATATCAGACACCAGTGTAAAAATTCTCCCAAATATGTTAATGCTGGCTTAAAAAATGCACTCTTGACCTAATTTACGTTCTTTGTCGTACCCAAGGCATTAGATTGAAACTCGATCCTAATTAGCACGTGTTCGAGCTCAATAATTTACAAAAGGTGAATTGCATCAGAGCAAAATTTAAAATACAGTTTCAGCCTCTTATTGATCAAAATATATAATAAATTTTGTGCTAACTATATTGTTTTAGTGTTGTTTAAATTCGTCAGACATACAATGTAACTCGACACATGACGGCATCACTAGACGCCATTATTAAATAATCACTTTGTCGAAGAGGGGGTGGTGTTGGGGCGTAGTTTAGCTGTGTTTGTTTTATTAAAAACATATAGATTTAAGCAAAGACTTGATACAAACATGTTTTAGCGCCTATTTTTTAAAAACTAGACAAAATTCGATTAATTTATGTAGGTCTTTCGGTTCACAGCTTCTGTGTTTGTTTGTTTATATTATCTCACGGCGCTAACTCTGGAACTGGTGGCGCGGTTTTGTTTTCATTAAGGGGTAGAGGGATAAAACCAATGATTTTTAAGCCATCAATTTTAGTAATTTTAATTACCCATTTCTAATTAAGTCTGTTAATCAAAGAATAGTTAGGTGTACTTTGACCAAATTACTTTATGTATCTCACAAGCGGCACTTTAGTGAAGTAGCTCTTTTTATTCTTGTGTTAACGTGAACTTAAAATCAAATAACTTCTAAACTACGCTTTGTATGTTGTGGCCAGAAATATCACACCCCCCCCCCCCCCCACACATGAGGCCATCTTATTATAATCTTTTTGCGCGGGAAAATGTGTGCTACACCGAAATTCATTTATTTGGCTAGATTTATTCGTCATTTCGCGTCATATCTGATAATATAATGCATTGCGCTTTCCTCATTGATGATGTTTTTATAATTTCAGGGGTGCCACTTCTCCGGGATATCTCAGATTTCCGGATTCGAGAATCATATTTTTTTCCCTTTCCGGATTCGCAAGATTTGAGTTTGAAAATTACTGGGTTTACAATTTTTAAAAGAAAATTAAGATAATTGTAAGCTTGAAAATTTTGGCATTGTAAAAATCGTTTTTATCATCTAGACTCCCGTTAATGGCCCTTTCCGCGCATGCGGCGACGTTACATATACACGTCTGTATAAATCTAGAGTTAACATTGTTATGCTCTCACTTTCGTGGCCTTTGTCTATCCGACATCAGCAGACGTTTTAGTCACTGGGACCTTAGATGGTCTTCTAGGTCTATCCTAACTTACTGTAACCTCGCACTATAGTATAGTGGTGGATCTAGATCTGTAACTATTAACCAACAAGATTTCCTAATGCCAATGGGCTTTTTTATTACGTTCATGAAAAAAAACAAATAGCAAATGATATCACCAACAATCTCACGCGTGCACCATGGACCAAATAAAAATCGTCTGTTTCAGATGGGTGAGGCTGTTGATGGAATTTTTTTATGTCATTCATTGTGTGGCTGTCTGGCTATTAATGAAGATAAGGGGTTGAGGGTAAAATTTGCATTATTTACGTGACTTCATCAATGGGCTACCGCTAGGCTGTGTAATAAAAATCCTACTAAATCCTACCATTACTAGCTCACTAGCATCGCCGATCGTCTTTTTAAAAAAAAAAAAACGGAAAGATTTTGCTGCGATATAAAATATTTTTTTTTTGTATTTGGTATTACCAAAAGAAAAGAAAAAATTATTTAACCCTTTATTTACGGAATTATGTTCAGAATGAGATTTTTACTTAAACAATGTGTTACTATATTGCTTTTGGCACATTCAAAACATGTCGAAGGAAATTTCGTTTCATAAATTTGTAATAGCCCAAACAGATATTGGTACTTATAAGTACCGTCAGGAATCTAGGACATTTTTATTAATGTATTATTTTTAATTTAACCATTTAATGTCCCCTTTAATGTAAGGAGCATAACCAGGTATGAACAAGTGAACACTTTCACAAAATATTTTTTTCGTCTCAATGAAATTAATAATTAAGATACAAACTACCGCTTAATGTTGGAATTAAATCTGGCTTTCTAGCAGTATTAAATAGAATATAATAGAAGTACAGAATAAAAAATAAAAAATGTCAGAGTAATTTTAAAACAAACTATGACATATAAGCCACTTATCCTTGATGTCACTGTAACTGTCGAGCAATGAACTACATCCGAGACAGCGTGTACACCAATACATTTTCGGTATTGGTTCGATTTCAAATTTGTAATCTTGTAAACTGAGTGCCCAGCGTGTCAACTTAGCATTTGATAGTTTCTTGGTATTCAAAGCTTAAATGGGTGCATTATCTGTGCGTAATGCGTCTGCTAGATATTTGGTTAACATTCCCCCTCTATTACTGCGTAATTTCTTTCGGTCAGTGTCAATTTTCTGCTTACGTAAAGTACTGGGTGTAGGTGGCCTGCAAATTTTCGCATTAAACATGCTCCAATACTGACAGAGGATGCTTCTGTGCACAATGTGAAAGGCTTCTGGATGTCGGGTAGCTTTAGTATGGTGTCTGATGCGAAGGTTTGTTTCATCTGATTAAGGGCCGTGTCGCAGGTTTCAGTCCACTCTATCTTGTTCCGACCCCTTTTGTCCCCTGGCTCGTTGTTTAAGTTTTTTGTTTTTGTAAGGTTGGTAAGAGGTTCTATTAGTGTAGCAAAGTCTGGGATGAATTTCTGTAGTAGCTACACAATCCGATAAGGCTGCGAACTTCCTTTTTTTTATTTTGGTGTTTGTATAAGTAGTATCCTCTGCATCGTATCCTGCACTGGCTTCATGTGTCCCTGAGTTAGCATATGTACTAAGCACTGTATCTTGGTCATGCCCACCTCTACCTTGCTCGGTCTGGCCTAGTAGAGATCGTAGCTCTGCTATGTGTTCTTCCCAAGTGGCGTGAACATACATATGACATCTAGGTAAGAGATGACATCATCTCGTCCCACCAGCACTTTTCCCAATAACCTATTGAACGTAGCTGGAGCATTCATGAGCCCGAAGCTCATATAGCAGGGTTCGTACGCAGTCTGGAAAGTCTGGAAAAAGTCTTGAACTTAGAAAAGTGAATTTAAGACTTAAAGTCTGGAAAATCGCTAGTTTTTGGGCTGGATTTTTTAAAATTCTGTAATCTAGTTTTAGAAACAAAACTTCGATGTCCAAGTGTGGTCAGTGGCGTACTGAGGTCGGGTGTCACCCGGTGCTGCACTTAATGGTGTCGCCCCCCCCAGAGGCATAGCGACACTTCCCGGGTACAAACTTTCAACTTTCGATTTGCACCCCCCCTCAAACTTTCGATTTGCACCTCTTAAACACTATTTAACACTCGAATTAATCACTTAATTAAGTGGAATAATCATTTTTCTCTATATATTTTGCTATTTTTTGCCTTGGTGTCACCCCCTAAATGGTGTCACCGGTGCGGTCCACACCCCGCACCCCCTCGCTACGCCTCATTTGGGCTAGCATTCATGCCCCAGCTTGCCCTTTCATTTGCCTAAAAAAAGGCAAATTTAAAAACTTTGGACTTATTGACTAGACGTAAAAAATTGTTTTAGTCCAGCATAGTGTTATTGTGAAATTAAAGAGCAAATTGGACATTCTCCTAATGGCTCAACTTGTTCTCAAAATAGCAGGCCAAAATACAAACTACAGCACTTCAGACTTTATTCCCAAGATACACAGAAATAGACACAGACAGACAGATAACATCTATCTATCTATATATATATAAAATTCTCTTCATGGAGACCATAGAAAACACCATTCAGCTTAGCTACCACCCTTATCCCCACCTGTCAGGTGAGCTGTGGTTCACCTGAATGTTTACAATAGTACAGTCGTTCGAATAAGTGACGGCCATTAGGGGCTGATAATTTAGTTAAAGTTCTGTCATCACATTTCATTAAATTCATTTTACCCATTGCAGAAGATTTTGTATTCCCTAAAATATTCATTTATAATACATCTGTTTTCAGATTCTTTTGTTAACAGTCAAGAATGGACACTAAGTCGCTCAGTTCCAGATTTAAAGTTGGTTAGTGTAATAACATTTGTGTTAATTGTTTTTATGGTACTTATCTTATATTTATTTTATTGTTAAGTTTTAAAAAAGATGCCTGTGATTGTTATCCTGTGCTTATAATGCTCTAGAATCATTTTTTCACATGGTTTTTACGCCGAAGTATAGAGGAAGTATTGTGATCGCGCAAAAATTTGAAATAGACATTTTCACAAATCTCAACAACACCTCGCTGAGTCGGAAAAACATAGTTTTGCAATTTTGTCCATATGTCTGTGTGTGTATGCCTGTGAACACATTTTTACTTAGTTAACAATGTCAACTTGTGGGTTTGTGGCAAATCTTGTAACTCAATTTAGACTCATTTCTAATGCAGTAGTTTAATTCAAACTTTATAGATACATCTATTCAATGGCAAATCGTGAAAATCTTTTATTTTATTAGATAATAAATTAGTCATTAAAAATTAAACAGGTTATTTAGAGCCCTAGGCAAAACTTATGAAAATGCCCCCCCCCCCCCCCCCCCCCCCACCTCGGCTCATCTTTTACGATCTCCCCCCCATATTATCTTTTATGATCTCCCCCCATATTATATATATATGTGTGCGTGTGTATTAGAATATTATTTTAAAATTCTCTTTAGGATCTTGTGGTGCCAACAATTAATTTACTTTGAAAATCTAAATATCTCAGTGGCTTACAAGATTTCTAATTAAAAGTAGAGAAAACAAGACTTAGATCTTTCTTAGTGAGGGAGGTTGGGGGCGCATTTTCCCCAACGCGAATAGCTATATAGGCCTAATTTAAAGATGGGGCGCAAAATTGATAGTTCGTCCTGGGCACTTAAATGTAATCAAAAATATTATTATGTACTTTTTACTAATCGAGATTACACATTTTTGAGCCCCTCTATGGATAGCGCCCTAGGCGGCCGCCTAGTTCACCTTATAGGTAGCGCCGGCCCTGCTTGTCACATCTCTCATTATTTTATTTCATGGAAATCAAGAAAATCAAAACTTTGCCCAACATTAAAATTCTAGAACCAGATTTAATGCTAAATAGTGCTCTATTTTTTTGTTTTTTATTGAAATGTGTATTATCTGATGAACTTATTCCTTCTAGGGTATATTGGGAAGTGTTCAAAGTGGCAAGTCGGCTCTAGTACATCGATATCTTACTGGTTCCTATATGCAAGAGGAGTCACCTGAGGGTAAATTTTGGTTACTTATTAAGTATTTATTTATTTAAAAAAGTATTTTAAAATTTTAAATGAACTTATTTTTACTTATTTAAGGTGGTCGATTTAAGAAAGAGGTTATTATAGATGGACAAAGCTATCTACTTTTGATAAGAGATGAAGGCGGAACCCCTGAAATGCAGGTATTAAAATATTTTAGTTTGTATCAGGAGCGACTACATGTACACAGTAGCATAATAGAACACACTTCCACGGAATATGACAAAATTAAAGTGTATTAGTATAATTAGTTTGCATTTGCACAGTTTTCCAATTGTTCATTTTTCTGATAACCCTTATTATCATATCCATGGTCATCTGTGGTCAACCACACAACTAATTCATTATCATCATTTAACTTGATAATAAATTTATAACTATTAAATTAAGTAAAACGAGTCTACTTAATGAAAATTTCTACTAGTGGGCAACAAGAAAAAAGCACTTTTTGATAGCTTCTTTACTTCAAATTTTTATTTTGTTAGCAAAAATATTAATGACAACAAATACATCTAATCTGCAGAAAAGTAATGCAAAAACAAATAATAGTTTTTATAATCATTAAGTTCACATCTATTTATTACATCCACAAAAAATTGGAATGTCCACAGCATAATAAATTAAGTGTTTTAAAAGTATTTAAAAGTTCTATTTTGTTTTAAAATATTTTTTCTACATATGGTTATACAACAAACTGATTTATTCAGGGAAGTGACTATTCCAATTTTTAGCGGATGTCCTATTTTTCAGTTTCAGCTGCAATTTTCCTCCCCTACTTTAATTTCCTTCTAACTTTTCTGCCGATTTTTAATTTTGTCAGTTTTTTGCGATGTTTTAAGAATTCTGAAAAAAAATGGAAATGACCTCAATAAAAACAAAAAAAACAATATAGATATCAGATTTCGTTCAAGCTGATGATCGATTATGCTCATTCCATTTCATTTGGACAGAGATTTAATTTTTCTGCTTCTTTTCAGGTAATTCACTTTTTCTGTTATAGTAAATTTCTCCGCCGAAAAATATCAGAAATTCTCCAAGGAAAAAACACGTCATTGGCAACAAATTTCGATAAAAATAATTTCCACTGTTCATGTTTTGTCAGACAAAGAGGCTTGTTCATTTGGTCTATTTTATGGTAGAAGATTGTGCCAGGTTTAAAAAAAAGTAATATAATTTTTCCTTAATGTACATATTTTCCTACTAACAAAAAGGCTCCCCTTAAGTGATTTTTTTTCCCTATGCCAGCACAATTACATGTGTCTACACTGCTTTAGGACATTTACTCGGTTACTATATCTATGTCATTGAGGGGAGGGGGAAAGGGACTTGTTAGTCCACTATGTGTAAACTTACTGTGACAGTTTGAATGTGTTACGAGTTACAATTCACAGACACAACCACTTAATTTGACATACCATTTTTCATAGCGTGGATAAAATTTGTCGAATTAACATGTCATCTAGAGACAGCGTTTAGGCTACATCACTATACCAGTACAGCTTTTTAAGGATAGCCGAGATGTCTTTTTTTATGGAACTACTTTTTTTTTCCGTTTAAGAAAAATTGTCAGCAAAAAACAAAAACGATATATTTTTGCTGATTGTCGTCTGTTTCCAAATACAAAATAACAAAGGTGGAAAGTTTTTGTGCTGATCTATTTTGTTTTCTTTCTATTATGTATTCACAAAAAGCAAAGGTGAATAAAATTGAAGGATTATTATAAATATGAAACAGAAATGTGCAGATAAATGCACTGTACACATTAATTTTACTCAACTTACGGAAAGTTTCCTAACTATGTGACTCCATGACACTCACACTCACCAGTTTCTCATGGTCTTGCTGACTGTTAGATTTACAACACGAGACCACACAAGCACATTCTATATGCCCTGTTATTTAAATATCCAGTTTACATCGTCTTAGGTTTTGACACAAAATAACCCTAATATGATTTGGTTACACGATTTAACATGATTGTTTTCAAAGTTATGTTTAAAAGAAACCTTGAAAATGAAATACCATAAATTGTTTGAGAAATTAGCCTGTCACAGACATGCCTACCGTCCCGCCAAATTCGGAACCGTCCCGCTTTTTCACCTAAAAAATTAATTTGTTCCGTCATCCCGAAATTGACTCTGTTGGTTCCGATTTGTTTGAAAAAAAAAATTAATAAAGAAAGGTAATAAAGTAAATTGAAAAAATGTCAGGAAAAAGTGATTATCTCCCTTTGGCACACGTTTCTGTTTCCTAGTTTACTTACAATATTTACAAGTATCATCTTAATGCTAGATCTAGTTAGTAGTATATCTACTACTACTAGATCTAGAATTGTAACTAGATCTACTAGTAGATACTGAAATAGTGAATTCTGATCTATCTTGTAAGTTTAACTTAACTAGTAACTACTATTATGAAGAACTTAGTAAGAAGTAAGTAGGAGTTTTACTAGGTAGATCAAGGGTCTTTGCTCGTAACTTATATATTACATATGATGAAGCCTTCAGCATTTGTTATTCATATAGCCTAGAACATAGCAAGACACAAATAATCAAATCAATAATGTTATGTCAAAGCTATGATTTTTATTGGGGGGGGGGTCTCAGGTTATTGGTTAATTTATTTTTTAAAATGTAAGCTGACATTAAGCAGTATTAAGCAGTATTTAAATGTATCCTAGAGACTAGTTAAATAGGACTAGAAGCCTACTAATGTCATTAGAGTAATTTTTAATTATTTTTATTTCTGACTTAGTAAAGTTGCGTCCGCGAGTATGTTCCTCTTTTTGGCTTCAAATTCCTCTTTTTAGGCATAACTGTTCCTACTTTTGGCTGACAGTGGTAGGCATGTCTGCTGTCACAAATTTCTGCTTTTTTTTCTAAGGCAGATAATTACATCTCTGAATTGGACTTATACGCTACATTAAAATTATGTCCCAAGCGTGTAAAAAATTATTTGATTTTCTCTCATCAAAATGATACTGAATTTGAGGTATATAGTTGTTTTGAAATTTGGACATATTTTTTATGCTAATTATGGTGTGTTGCGAAAACGCGACATCCGGCACTAATGGACCTAACAGTAATTTAATTTTTTTTAGTCCGGGTCATTTTACTATTTTTACTGACATGTGTTTCTCTAAATATCTACGCACAAACAACAGAATATCACAAACTAAACATATTGACATGCAAGGAGATGTAGACTCACTTGTAAAAGTCATGAAAACTATAGTTTATTAGCTCAGGATTAGAGTTGCGTAACTCTGCTGCACCTGCTCACTTTATACCTCATGATTCTACTACACTACAGTAACACACTACACATGAAAGGACTTCCTCAATGTGTATAGTCTCAGTTGTCCCTGGTTACGCCCTTTTCGTGAGCTATTCAAGGTCAACTTATAAGGACCTATATTTATCATTTGACCTATATTTGCTATACACACAAAGCACGTGAACAAATACTGTCAAATAATGAAGTGTTCAGCCATTGTATATTCTTACATGCTCAATGCAGCTGCTGTGGGTCCCTAGTGTCACTGCTGTGTGTACTCAGTGACACTGGTGTGGTTACTCACTGCTATTGTTCATGGTACCCAATGTTTCCGATGTCAGTTCTTTGTGTTACGGCTGTTGTACTCAAATGATACTGCTATTGATTACCAATGACAGTGCTGTAGCTACATATTGTCACTGCTATGGGTTCTCAGTGCTGAAACAGTGAGTGGGTACTCAGTGCTGAAACAGTGAGTACTGAGTGTTGAAGCCATGTGTACTGAGTGCTGAAGCAATGGATACTCACTGTTGAAGCTGTGTTACTGCAGTCGGTTCTTGGTGTCACTTTTGTGGGTACACAGCGATGGAGCTGTTGGTAATTGATAATGTTGCTGTGGGTACTCAGCCTTAGCAGTGGGTACTCAGTATCACTGCTGTGGGTACTTAGTGCTGAAACTGCGGTTGCTCAGTGTCACTGATGTTGATACTCGGTGCTGAAGATGTGGGTACTCAATAACACTGCTGTCAGTACTAAATGCCTGTATAATGCCACTAATGTGGGTATTCAATAGCACTGCATGGAGTATTTTTGTCAGTACTCAACATGCTGTATTTATTACGAGGTGTAGGTCTACACTCAGTGTTATTATTGTCAAGGTCACTGTGAAGACCTATCTTTGGTGGTATCCATGATAGTGGCCCACCACCTCACTTCCTGTTGTCTATTTATTATTTTATGTTCTCCCAGAGGCTTAGCGACCCTTCCCGGCGCCCGGGGACAAACTTTCGATTTGCACACCCCCCCCCCCCCCTCGAACTTTTCATTTGCACCCCCCCTCAAATTTTCAATTTGGCGCCCCCCTCGCTACGCCTCTGTGTTCTCCTAATATTTTACAATGCTTTTTCAAAGCTATATTAGTTATATTGAAGGCCTACCCAGCAATCCTCCCTCTAAGGGGGAAAAGCTAGTGTGCAAAATGTATTTTCTGTGTGCGCTGTTCTAAAAGTCTTATATAAGGATATATTTATTTTACAAAATAACTGCGCGGCAGTTATATGAAATATAACCGGATGTTTATTCGGTAACAGTATTTTAACCTGAAATGGAAATTTAACAGAAAAAAATTGCCAGAAATATTTCCAAAAATTTAAACAATAAAAAAATCCAAAAGCTATATTTTAAAATTGGAAACTGACATTCTGGAAATTTAACCAGAATCGAAATTCAACTGGGAACAAAACTTTCCGGAGAAGGAAATTTGATCGGGAAATTTAATCAGAAATGGAATTTTTAACCAAAATCCTAACTTAAACACTTTATATTTTACTTTTTATTGTATATCTACATACACTTCAAATGTTAGATAAATAAATTAGGCGTTTAATTTGTGTCTATTATCAATGACTTAATAATCTTTGTTTATGTTCTATATTTAATTATATTATTTATTCTACAATGAGTGACGTCATTCATTTTTGTGTATGAATGATACTTTATCTGGTAACCTTGATCTACACGTATTTACTGCATGTTCATACTAAATCTAGTCATAGATCATACCTTGCACTTAAGCTCACCCCAGATAAAGGTCATATTTGTAGATAAAAGTAAAGATTCCTCTTTAGACCTAACGATCCATTGGGCAGATGAAGTAGAGTTCATATGTTTCTTGACCTCAGCTTATAAAAGGATAAAGTGGTCAGCACTATGCCCAGCCTCCTTTACTTTCCCTAATGTTCTAAAAATGTATAGTATACATGTCGCTAGTGTAAGCGCAGTGTCAGACAGGAAGAAATATAGAAATACAGACAGACAGAATAGTGAAATTATTTATATTTAACCATTAATTTACACAATAACATTGTGAGACTGCGATAAATTTGATCTAAAAAAAATTCCTATTATTTTCATGGTCTGGTCACAGCGCAGATTTATTGTATGAACAGATTTATGCTTTGAAAAGGAAGTGATATTAGAAAGCATGGCTCAAAGCATCAGTTTTGCATGATTATATTCTTATGCTGGCACAATTTCATTGTTTTAACTTTATTTATTTAAATTAATTATTTTTTTTTTACCTATAATATTAAAAGTATCGATACTTAACAGGTTTTACTTTAAAGTAAATATGTTTTTATTCTCCAGGTTTTCATGTAATAAAATGAAACAGCTTTAAATAATATACACTTAATTTATTAATTGTAGGTGGTTTTTATTTTTAGAGTAATCATGTTTAATCATTTTATTTATTTCTAGTTCACTCACTGGGTAGATGCAGTCATTTTTGTATTCAGCCTTGAAAATGAAATGAGCTTCCAGGCAGTTCATAGCCATTATGCTAGGATGAGGCAGTATAGAGACACAAAAGAAATTCCACTTATTCTTGTAGGAACTCAAGGTATGAAATTTTTTTTATGATTAATATGGTGGAAAATAGATAAGTGCCATGCAACAAAACACATTTTCCATTTTGACCTATCAAAATTTCAGATAAACGTTTTGTTTTGTTTCAACCCTCTTTTTTATGCCTCAGTCATATTACGGCTTTACCCGACCACAAACTATATGCCTACTGTCCCGCCAAAAACAGTATTGTTCCACATTTTTACAAAAAATTGTGACATCATTACAAGAGTTCACCGTAATTGTAATCTGAGCTTGACGAAACTCGCATCGCCAAGCAATCATAAGGCGATAGAGCTAAATGCTGGTTAGTTGCAAGGCTAACAACTAACAAACATCACTCATTAAATTCGACATCATGAAAATACCACTCCTTGCCTTGAGCTTGATTTTCATTAGAGACAGGTTCTTGTTTGAAATAAACCGGGAGTGATCTCCCCTAAACTTTCTCGAATATTCTTATATAAAACAACAGGGGATGGGAACTCGGGCTATAGACATGATTTTTAATCCATTTTGAATACTTAAAGTTTTAAAAATAGAATAAAATCTAGTAGACAAAAGAATTGCACACCAAGTGAACGCCAAATAAAAAAGTGCATAATAGTGCGCAATATTATTAGTACTTTAAAAATTTACATTAGTTTTTTGAGAAATCGGAAGTAGCGTAAATTACTACTTCCGGTCAACGGAAATTACTCAAAATTTAACAGAAGGTAGTGAATTAGATCTTTTACTTACATGTGAAATTTCATTTATCTATCTGAAATAGTACTCAAGTTATAGGCTTTTGAAAAATTCAAAGTAGAAAAAATACCACTTCTGGTTATCGGAAATCGCTCAAAAGTTGATACGGATCTACGATTTTGATAAAATACTTATATATGAAATTTCATCAACCTAGCTGTAACGGTACTCAAGTAATCGTGTTTACACACGGACAGACAGACACACACACAGACATACGGACAGAATTGCAAAGCCCAGTTTTTCAGACTGGATTACGCATAAAACCTCTTAATTTTGATAAATCTGGATTGATAATTTTTGCCCGATTGAAATAAGTCCTCTAATCTTCGGATGTGATGAAGGACTGAGGTGTAATACGGTGAAAATTGTTAAAATTTCAAGTGATTTTTGTGCACGATTACAATACTTTCTCTATACTTCGTATATATGAGAAATTTTAAAAAGTGCCAACGTCATCACCATACCATGGTGGATTTTTTTCCAATGAGTATTTACCCTACCCGCCCGCCTCCTCACAGCATACCAAATTTCTTTACAAACGGGGTTAAAAGTTCATGAAGGGTAGAGGGTGGTATTGAAATAATAAAGCTGTTTCTTTAATAGTAATAATAGTACAAATATATAACTAAAAAATTATAGTCCTACTGCTATACCATCATACAGGAAATATGTAATCTCAGTATAAAATAAATTACTTAATTAACTATCTTTGATAGTTTGTTTTTGTTAAGGCATGACACAAAGTCTTTGCGTGCATGGTACGTGCATCTGCGTGTGTGTTCCGCTTTTTGGAATATCTTTTTAGGCATACCTGTTCCTACATTTGGCTGCTTGGGGTAGGCATGTCTGAGTTTTTAGTAATTTTTATTTGTTAATTATTTCGATTTTATATAGAGTTTAATGGCATTAGCTTTTCTTGATTCGCTAACATTGAATGGGTTTGCCAGTAATAATTATGAGCTAGTAGATAAGGAAAGTGATGACTATTGTGAATTACTTCCAAATTTTAATGTTCCAGAACAATAACACTCACATTGAACCAATCGTATTTTGAACATGAGAAAGACATATGTTGTGTTGCATTTGAATTAAATATCTTTTCTTTCCTTTTTATGATTGAAGCCGGGAAATTCGATGAATAGCCATTAAATTTTCATAATAGCCGGGAGTTTTGTCATCACCCAAATATCGTTAGATTAAGAATAGGCATGAGTCTAGCCTAATGAAGTATCGCCAGTTCTCATAGTTTAGGTTTAGAGTTAATGCACACAAAACTAGTCTTGCTGAATAAGAGCAAGCTAAAAAATAAAATCTTTCATCCACGATTTGCAATCGCTGGTATGATTTCCGATTTTTTTTTTCCAGGGATGCCACTTTTCTGGATTATTCCTTTCTGAGTTAGCAAAATTTGAGTTTAAAAATGACTGGATTTGAAGTTCCAAAACATAACAAGACTGTTTTCACATTCCAAATATCATTTTATTTTTAAGACTCTAGAGCATTTTCAGCCAATCACGCAAAAAATAGAGTGTACATGGTACAACATCTATTACTTTACGGGCTTAGGGTTACTTAACATTGGCGTGGCGTTTTTTTTTTCCATTGTTTCTTTGCAGACACTAACATGGTAAATAAACACAAATATAGAAACAGGTTGATAGACAATTATTTTGGGTACCATTTATGATCGCAACACTCATTTAGCTTACCCTACATCATGCGGAAATCTCAATCACTGTCATTTGTTTAGGCTTATTTGAAATTACTGTAAACTGTCACCCATTTTAAGGATAACAATCTTAGCAGACTATTTCACTGATAGCCAGTGATACTGAATTTGGGAGAAACAGAGATTTAAAATAAAAACACAAAATTAGCAAAAGTTTCTTGCATTTATGAAGAAAATAAAAGATTAATGACTTCACCAACAATCTCAAATGAGTTATAGTCCAACTACAATTATCTCATGGGGGAGGGAGATAACAATTGTAAAAAACTGGAGTAAATAGAGGACTTTCTTGAACTTACTGTGTTGACCCTTAGTAAGATGTGTTTGATACCACTTGTATCAGCTATCTCAATTACAAGTGTTCATGTTATGACTTTGTATGCTATAGGCCTTCACAATGACCTCTCCACCGTGTCTAGACTATTTGAAAAGCAGACGTATTGTTGTACTATCGTCACGACTTTTGGAAATTTTGATTTCTTAAATTTAGTGTTTTTAACAGACTCACAAATTGAAAATTCATAATAAATTAGTTTGAAGATCTGCACTTAATGTAACACTGCCTCAATGGGGATGCTTATTACCCGCTGAGGTGTTGTGTTTAAAAGGGCTGACCCTGAGAGATATAGCACCCAATGGAATGACGCTGTTTTTGTCAACTACTGGATTTATTGACATTAACATCCAAGCCAACTGTAGAAAACACTGTAGAAAACAGTATAGAAAACACAGTAGCCCTAAAACAAATTTAAAGAATAGATTACATTACTGAAAATACCAAGTGTAGGCTACACAAATACATGGGTGTAATAAAATTGGTTACGGCCAGTACACAATACTGCCAAAAAGTACCAGTAAGTAGTACAATAATAAATACTTAAATAAATACTTAACCTAACTAGTCTGCAACATGCAGCACTAGCAGGAATACACAAATAAGTACTCTAACTAAGATACTTCATACCTAGTCTGCAACATGCAACACTAGTAGAAATAGTACAGTAATAGGCCTAATAAAAATAAATTACATTACTACATTACCTTCATTAGGTCTACATGATCAACTTATAGGCAACAGCACCGTCCGTGTCCACAGCAGCCTTGGGTCTGAATGACACAGGCACAGGTATGAACCACCCAGAATCCCAGAGGTCACATGACATGGGACACCGGTAAAAATCACTCACCCAAGAACAATAAAAAAAAAACTACATCAACATAAATTATAACTTATAATTTATCCCCTTTGACTGGTAACAATGATATGTGTTACACTTAAAAATTTTAGCGGATATGTGTTACACTCAAAAATTTTAGCGGAGTATGCCAAAATATGGTAGAAGATTATGCATTCATTCTGTATTGGGCTTAAAATATAATTCTTTATGAATGACGGAAATCTTAAGAATAGTTTAATTTTTCAAGATGGCTGCTGTTGTCATAGTTAAAAGTACTTTTCTTTATAAATTCATCAAATAATCGATTTCCCACTTTTACTTGATCTATACAGAATAACCATCGTTGTATCTAAAAATGACATTGTCACGACCCTAAAAGCATTATTTACTTATGAAAAACTGGGTTCAAAGTAGTGTGAACAGCATCATTTGTTTACTTTATAAGCGAGACGTGGCTGACTACTACTAGTACCCAGGTGGACTTGCCAAAAAGATCCACAGTTTCTTAGACTTTAACAGCCTCCACAAATATAAGTGCCCTGTTTATGAAAGGCTATCAGATGTGGCACTCCTGAAGCAATGTGAACTAAGGTCAACGCAAAATGCAAATAAAAGTTTGCATAATTGCATATGGGCATGCTGCAGCAAGGTGAATTTTCATTCATCAAAGAGAGTTCAATATGCTTCTGTTTCTGCGATAGCAGAATTCAATTTTGGGCCCATTCATGCTCTGATATTTGCTCCCAAAAGAAGGAAACCATAGTCAAAGACTAAGTTGAAGGACACCAAAAAAGACACCTTGACAACAGCCTGACTACTGACTACAGCTTTGGGTAAAAGCAAAGAAAAAAGGAAACTAGCAGTTGAACAAGACACAAGGATTACATTCAGCAGCATGGTACTTCCGGCTGTGAATGTGGTCAAGTTTAGTGACATGCAACTATATTTTCATTTTGTGCAACTTTTTGTTGGTTTTTGCATTTTTCTCAGTGTGGTGTTTTTTTTGTACCATTGTTAAAATACTAAATTTGCTCCAGTTACTCTGTATATATGTTCATATAAAACTGATAGAACGTTTTTGAAAAAAAATTTATTGTTGTAATAATGAAAAAACTGGACCAAACAATGATCTTTTTTCAGTGATGTATGGGGGAAAAAAGTTTTTAAAAATTATCTATTATTATTATTATTATTATAAATTATCTAAATTGAAAAATGTAATCTATCTAAAGTCTTAAACACAAGTGTCTCCAGACAATATAAAGTTTTCATGAAATTTGTACTAACCATTTTTGCGTTATTTCCATTTAAAAATTGTCAATAAAAACCAATAAGGCCGCTATCACCATGGCAACGGAGGATTTTTTTTTAAAATTTAAAATATTTTTATGCTTAACCCTTTGAGTTATAACTGTTATCTATGTATTATATCTTAGGCTCGGAAATAAGGAAGCTGGTACTCATCACCCGCCCATGCCCTTAAGAATTGTTATGAAGTTAAAATTACTAAAGAAATGTATAATCCTATATATATATGTGTGTGTATATATATATATACGTGTGTATATATATATATATTTATATATATATATATGTGTGTGTATATATATATGTGTGTTATAACTGCTGCGTTCTATATGTGTACCACAGTTATGCAGTGAGAGGGTACAACTACCTGATCCAATACCATCTTTCCATATCACTACCATTTGATTATGTTTAGCTATGTTATAGTATATCTTGAGACACGACGACATCAACGCTTACGAATTATTTGACAGAATGACATCGGTTACTAACTCTATTTATTGCACAATAAGAAATGGACATCGGACAGCTTGGACAAACGATACTACAACAAGACAACCTAACTCTAACATAACACGGACAAGACTAACTTCAATCTTCTTCCCCGGCAACAACGAACTCACACTAAAACGTCACTTTCTTGCGTACAACGTCACACACTCCCTCGTTCAATATACGGCCGCACCATCAATCATGCGCACCCATTGCCCTAGTCAAACATGCATCATAACAATGTGTGTATATATATATATATATATGTGTGTGTGTGTATATATATATATATATATATATATATATATATATATATATATATATGCATCTATATATATATGCATCTATATATATAATTCTCTTCTTGGAGACGCTAGAAAACAAGCTGTAAGCGCGCTCCCTACCACCCCACCCCTACAAGGTCTGGTGAGTTGTGGTTCACGCTAAATGTTTACATTCGTAGAGCCGGGTTTAGTGACGGCTATTAGGGGCAGATAATTTAGTTTGAAACGATTTTAAACTTAGGGGAGGTAACTAAGAGGAGGCTGCTTTCACGGGGGGGGGGGTATAGGGTAGGGGTTGGGGGAAAGAAGGGTGGGGGTAGTATCGTCCTTAACGACCTACTGATAGTGTTTTAAAGCAAATATTTTCAGTGGCAGCATTGGCACTGTCCAATTCACAAATTATGAATTACTGAAAAGTAGAAAATAAAACAACTAAATAGCGGCGTATGATATGCCGCTGGTTGGCTCGTATATATATATATATATATATATATATATATATATATATATATATATATACTAGGCATACTGCCCAGCTTCGCTTAGGCTTTCGAAAACATTAAGAATTTGAATGCTTAATTAATTCGCCCCAGGGTCGGTCTACGACCTCAGGAGCTATGAAGAGGTTCCTACGTGGACATTTTTGTTTGATTTATAGCTCATATAACGCGCCGGTCAGTCGAGGTCAGTTTTGACCCCCTCATCGTAGACTTTTCGGCCAACTGGCCGTGTTCTGTCACCCCGAGGCAAGATCCTGTAAAATTTGAAGCGCCTGCGGCGCCGGGAAGTGCCCTGTAGGGCACCCGACAACTTTGCTTTATATATTATGGAGATTAGCAAATTGCATAGATAAACAAACATTTCAATAAAGTAATTAAGGCCTGAAATACTTTAGTATAGAAATGTATTATTTGAATAGATTCTAGATCTAGGTAGGGTCTACATCTGTGTAAGTGTAGTTTTTCCGTAGATCTAGATCTAGATGATCTAGAATCTCTAGATCTAGATGATCTAGAATCTCTAGATCTAGATGATCTAGAATCTCTAGATCTAGATGATCTAGAATCTCTAGATCTAGATGATCTAGAATCTCTAGATCTAGATGATCTAGAATCTCTAGATCTAGAATATCTAGATTTAGAATCCGAATAGAAATTTTTTTTTAAGTTTAGCCAGAGCAAAATTGTATTGTATACATTTTATAGCGTATGTAGATCTAAATAATATTTGAATTAAATAGTTCATTTCTTTTTATTCTAAACATGGCAGATGACGTCATTAGTTAATGTATACTTTAGTGACGTCATTGTTTCATGGGTTCTTTTTCACAACTATAAACACTTTTCCTGTTGCATAATTAAAACTGTTTTTCTACATTCGAATATGTCTTTATTTTTTATTTTTCTTCCTTAAATAAAATGTTGTTTATACATTTAAAACATTACCATATTATTTTCAACAAAAGTCTGTATCAAGTTCTCCATATATTGCTGAAGATTCGGATGTGATACCCTGCGAAAATATTTTTTGCAGAGAGAGAGAGAAAAGTGCGCACATGGGCTTTAATATATTAGGATGTGTGTAATATATATATATATAGTGTGTATATATATATATATATATATATATATATATATATATATATATGTGTGTATATATATATGTATATATTTATGTGTATATATATATATATGTATATATATGTATGTGTGTATGTCTATATGTGTGTGTAGATATGTGTGTATTTATATATGTGTGTACATATATATGTGCGTACATATGTATATGTCTGTAGATATGTCTATGTCTGTAATATGTATATATGTGTATATATATATATATATATATATATAGATTCCTGTAAAGTTTATTGTTCCCCGCCGGCAATAAATGACGTAATACCCACTTGAAAATAGCTTTTGTCCTCGTAGTAGCGTGAAAATTTGCCGGGGGTGTTGGGCGGGTACCATAGTTACGCATCACAATAAAAGGATAACTGTGGGCTGTAGAAGTCCGAAATGTCTGGGTTATATAGATAAGAGGTACTAGTATCGAATTAAGAAATAAAAGTTTTGATGAGCAAAATTTTTTATCGAAAACATGTGTATCTTAGTTTGGATGTTTAATTTTATAAGCTGTTAATATTCAGCTGACGTGCTATTTTTAACTTAATTATATGCTTTTTACAGATGCTATTAGTGAAAGCAATCCTCGTATTATAGATGACACCCGAGCAAGGAAGCTAGCCAATGATCTAAAGCGGTGTTCTTATTATGAAACTTGTGCTACCTATGGTTTGAATGTTGAAAGGGTTTTCCAGGATGGTATGACATAGTATTTAACATTGTTGTATATTGTTTCATTAATACATTTTTATAATGTTAATATATTTTTATATTTTATATATATATATATATATATATATATATATATATATATATATATATATATATATATATATATATATATATATATATATATATGTTATCAGCGAAACACCTAATTACTTTATTAAATAACCAACAGATTTATAGCCCTAAATAACTCCATTATATAACTCCATAAATCTGGTTAATTAATGGTATTTTAAGAAACACTTACTTGATCTTTTTTTTTGCCGACCAAAAAATAATAATTTTTATTATCAATAACTAATATAATGAATACAAACATTTAATTCATAAATCTCAAACTGAAAGATCTGTCTAATGTATTCTAACAAAAGTTGTTAGGTTTTTCCACTGTGTACCATCTGTATTTGAAGATTAAAAAACAACTAATGACTGTATCAGTTTCATAACCCGCAACAATACAAATTCTACCATGTGTGAAGATATACCTTTTGTGAAAATATTTCTAGTTATTTTAATCTCCATAAAAAAGTAAAATTACACCAAATATTATTTAAAATCAAATTATATCCTAATTCAACCAATTCCATTGCTAAGAAACAAATGTTGTAGTCACATCTCTGTTTAAAGTTTTAATTTTGTCTAGGCCTTGTGTTTTATTAAAAATCAGGACTAAAAGCTGCAAATATTTCAAATCAGTGAAAGTAATTTTTAATACTCTTTTTAATAGTTTACCACCAAAATTTAAGAATAATAAGGAAAATAATCAGAAAATGTTGAGCAGCTGTTTTGAGGCAAAGCATAAAATATACTGCAATAACATTAATTTCAAGATGAAGACTATAGTTCAGTGAAACATTATTTTGTACATAGCTTTGAGATTACTTAGAATTGATGTGATACTTAGAGAATATTAAGAAGGGAAGGGGTGGGGGTTCTAACTATGGTCATTTTGAAACTGGGACTCAAGAGTGCTGGCATAAAAAAAAAATGTACTTATTGAAGGCAAAGTTTTTAAATACTATGATTTTCATTTTATTTTTTTATGGTTTTCATTTAAATTATTTGGGGTGGATCTTTTTGTTATTTATTGAGTAGGGGAAATAATAATTGTTACACCAGACTTGATTTCTTTAGAGCATATTTGCTTTATTAAATACATAACACTAGGTAAAATTTGATGTATTACTAAACACTGATCATGAAATGTAGGCTTATATTGAATACCACCTCAATGTAAATTAGGAGGGAAAGTGTATGTAATTAAAGTTCCCTTTCAAACCTGACGGTCTTTAGAGGAAGTGAAATAGAGTTCACTTATTTCGGTGACCTCTTCATATGAAGAGATAGTGTGGTACGCACTATGCCCAGCCGCCTTTACTTTCCCTAATGTGTGTTAGGTACCCATCAGACTTGGGTGAAATCAGGGACGGTCTACTGACTTGAACCCAGACTTGAACTCAAGACTTACGGGTTAGCAGTCCAGGTCTCTACTGCTAGACCACTCCATCCCCAAGGGAAAGTGTAGAAAATTAGAAAGATCTTAAAAAAGTGTTCGAACCCTGAATGTAAAGCTCTTGTGCTTTGGTAATTTACATTACACCTATTGCTATCTTAGCAAGTTATAATAACATTTGTTGTGTTTGTTGAAATAAAAGTTTTTGACCTTTATTCATTTATTAAACAATTTTTTAATATAAATAAATCTATATTACCCTTAATTTCTGCTTTTAAAATTTTCAGCATGTCAAAGGATAGTTCAGATGCGCTATCCCAGTGTCACATCCTCTGTTCCATCAGCTTTACCTTCAACTCCTAATCATTCACAAAGGTCGTTCTATGTTTCTCAAACCAGTGGCAGCAAACCTAGTGACACTCACAGTGTAAGCAGCCATAGTACTAGCAGCTCTGGCACATTAGTAACATCTAGTTCACAGGTTGGTAAAAGCCAATGAAAAATTTGAATGGTGCTTTATTATTGACATTTGTTTATAATTACTGTAGGTATGTCAAACTGTTTTTTTTTTAAAAGGTCCCATAAGCTTTTTTTAAAGCTGCTATGTCAAGAACTCAAGATTCTAATATAGAAAACTTATGACTTTTAAAAAATTTCGTTCAACATAATAACCATGTTTGGGAGGTTATAGATGTAAAAGTATATGACACTAACACAATCTTCTGAACTCAACACAAATACACATACACAGAGAACAGACGCAGCTGCAATAACTGTAACCTGTAAATATGTAATCAATAGCCACCATAAACTGTTAACATAATTTAGAGGACATAACAAGGTTTTTTTCGTAGACAAGGGCTATATTCTTTTAAAGGAATCTAATAAGGGTTTATTTCCAAGCTGACTGCAAAGTGTAAATACATCTGCACTCAAGCTATGATCATTAATATATATGGACATTGTTACAACTGTAGTAAAGATCTCGCTTACACCCCCCCCCCCCATTTCCAGGTAAGTGTTGGAGGCATTAACATAACATCTTGTTAAAATTGAAGTTAAAAAACACACTAAAAATGGATTTTTTTTTTGTTGGTAATGTAAAGTATTTCAAGCTACACATCATGTACCATTTAATCTAAAATCATCGCTAAAACCCAACCCATCCATGAACTTTGCGGGGTTTTATATTTTAAACTATACCCATATAGTGTTGACACTTGAGACAAAATGTAATAAAATGTGACCTCTTACATTTAACAGAAAAAAATATTCAGCTATTCTAAAAAGATTAGAAAAATATGTTGTAATTAATTTTCAAAGTACCCTCTGTCAGAAAAGATAAAAATATTTGAACTAGGCAATCAGAAAAAAAATTAGACTCCAATACAAAATGAAGTGGGGACGAAGCTGAAAAATTACGTGGAAGTCTAATCATTGAACAGAGTTATAGCTTTAATAATAAAAATATACTAAAGAAATAAACTATCAAAACTAGACTCACCTACTTTATTAAGTAGCTACATGTTTTTTTTTTACTGAACTATCAAGCCTCTAAAACTTGCTATCATCAATTTAGAAAAGCTTGCTGGTGCATTGTTAATGAAGAAGATGACCATTTTCTTCGACCGGGCCTAGAGCTATTTTAGTGATCGCTATAGTTTTTTTTGTCGAGCTCGGCCTTTTTTGACCATGCTCAGAAATGATAAACAATTTTAGTGTTTTAACAGAAATGGTACCAAGCTTATTACTATACAAGCCCTATTTATTATTGAAACAATGAAGTAAAAAGCTACTATATTTACTGCAGTTTGACATACCTATTTTCAGTGTATTTACAAAAGTTTTTATACTTATTTTATTACTTTTTTTTTTAAAGTAAATAAAAAGAATTCAGTAGAATTCTATTTCTCAGTAAATTTGTGTTTGTATGTATTTTTATCTTCACATTTTCACAGCCCCCCCTTTATCCATCAAAAGAAAAAGACTTGAAAGATAAAGCAGATAAGCCAGAAAAGAGAAAAGATAAACAGTATAATCCTACCCAACCAACTGTGTTAGTCCAGCCATCTCAATCTTCACATGTAACATTGGGCCAGCCACAACAGTCTTCATTATTACCTCAACTTCCAGAACAAAGTGATATTCAGGTAATTTTTTAAAATTCTAGTTCACATTCAGCTAAGACAAAGCTTTTTTACTTTCTCGTATATACGTAGTATAGAGAAAGTATTGTAATCACTGATACGGAAAAACATAATTTTGCAATCTTGTCCGTATGTCTGTGTGTGTGTGTGTCTGTGTGTGTGTAAACACGATAACTTGAGTACCGTTACAGCTAGGTTGATGAAATTTCATATATAAGTATTTTATCAAAATCGTAGATCCGTATCAACTTTTGAGCGATTTCCGATAACCGGAAGTGGTACTTTTTTTACTTTGAATTTTTCAAAAGCCTATAACTTGAGTACTATTTCAGATAGAGGAATGAAATTTCACCTGTAAGTAAAAGATCTAATTCTCTACCTTCTGTTAAATTTTGAGTAATTTCCGTTGACGGGAAGTACTTATTTACGCTATTTCCGATTTCTCAAAAACGCATCTAAATTTATAAAGTACTAATAATATTGCGCACCATTATGAACATCTTTATTTGGCGTTCGCTTGGTGCGCAATACTTTTTTCTATGAGATTCTATTCTATTTTAAAAAGTTTAAGTATTTAAAATGGATTAAAAAATCATAACTAGATCTATATCCCGAGTTCCCATCCCCTGTTGTTTTATATAAGAATATTCGAGAAAGTTTAGGGGAGATCACTCCCGGTTTATTTATTGATTAGATTCCTTGATAAATTTAATTTAATTTTGATGGTTTGAACTTTTGCAAAGTTTATAATACATCATACCTTGGTCACTGAAAGAATAAATTCAAAATATCTGACTAAAAGAGCTTATGAAAAATGAGTGCAAATAGATCTAGATCAGAGGTTCCCAAACTTTTTTGGGTCTAGCCCGTAGTGGCGAAACGGAAGTACAAAAATTTTAGTATTGTCCGTACTGGCGAAATTATTTTTGCTATTTAAAATATTAGATATTGATTATAGTTATAAACGTTTTTGATTTTCTCAAAATATATCACAAATACAATATGTAATTTTGTGTATTAAAAAAAAAATAATCGCAGCATAAATCGGTGTTACAAAATAATTGTATTTGTTAATACTCGATTATTATAAGGGAAAAAAATGTCTAAAACAAGAACCAAAACAAAAATTACTGAAATAAATAAAATATTATATTTCTTCGTTTTTGAATTTACAAAAACTGAAATCGTCATTTAAAAACTAAGTTAAGGGCATTTTTACAAGCTTTTATTTAACTTGATTCCTCGTGCTATTTCTCTCATGTCTGAGTCAGTTTCTTTCAGGCATCTCTTCTGGGGGGGGGGGGGATTTAATGGATATTGTATAAAAAACATTCTTTTTTTTTATCAGTGTCCGCTTTCCACACACACACCCCCCCCCCCCCCCCCCCCCCCCCCCCAGGTGAAAAAAAAGTCTGGAAGAATCACTGGCCTGGGTGGAAACTTTGCTAACAAAAAACAAAATTATACCCGACCCGATGGGGTTTAAACTTGAATGTCACTTTATGTTGCGAAGTGAGTTTCGGTACGGGTCGATGCTGAACGTGACGAACGAGGTATAGATGGAATATAGATGGGACAAGGCGACTCTATCAATTTCCATAATTTTATTACATTAATACATACAGCTACATCAACAGCAGACACAGAACGAAGACTTCCTAACACAACCTCACATGACGACGACAAGAACAAAACTGACTTCCAACTATCTTCCTAACAACCAAAACATTCTCTCTTACGTCACATCCTTATTTATTCATGCATTCATAATCTTTTATTAATACCACTACACACATACTCTCAAACCATCCACAACTTTATTAACTCCATTCAACTACACACATACTCTCAAACTCATTCAATACACTTAAGTCCATTCACAACATACCCCCTCTCCTTTCTTCAGCTGAAAATACATACCAGAACCATCAAACTATTTTCAGCTTCATTTTTTTTTTCTAAGACATGCATCCATACAATATGCTAAACATGCAACTAAGACAATGGTAATTCCTCAACGTCGTCAGTCAACTGGAACGCATACATCTTTTGGTCCCAACCAACACCTTGTCCACACATCATCACATCTTTTGCGTCTGGTTTCTTGTCTCTGGACATCAACACAAGCTATAAAAAAAATAATCCAGGACCAACATGTACCTAAACTATACAATAACTTCTAACATTGTTGAGCACCTCTTCCTCACATTTCTACTGATATTTTTTTTTAACTTAAACATGTCGTCATTAGTATACAATAGTACTACCAAACAGGAAAGTCACACAGCTTCTAAAACGTGGAATATTAAATCACAACTATTAATTAAAATCAATCCGATTTGGCTATATATCACTAGCTGCATCCCGTGCTCCGCCACGGTAAATCTTTTTAAAATATACCAACTTTGGAACAGAACAAAACAAACAAAAACACAACACAAACACAAACAAAACACAACCACAACACAACCACATTACAACCACAACACAATCACAACACAACCACAACACAACCACAACCACAACACAACCACAAAACAACCACAACCACAACACACGGTAAATCTTTTTTAAATTTACCAAGTTGGGAACAGAACAAAACTAAATACAACACAAACGAACGCAAAGAAAAAAACAAAAACGAAAAAACAAACACAACACTCAACATAAACTCAATTTAAATGTAATCATAAAGGCATATTGCTCACAGTCTATCCCGTAGCGCCAAATCGCGCCCTTTCCGAGCGCCGGCAGAAAATTTCGATTTACACCCTCCCACCTCCCTCAAACTTTCAATTTCCACCCTCCCCCCCCCCCCCCCTCTTGCTACTCCTCTGTTATAAAACCCCTAACTTTTCCGCAAATAAATTAAAGGCAGTATTTAGAATATCCGTGTTTTACCGACCATATTGCACTTTATAAATTTATGCATTTTTTTCAGTACTTTTAAAAATTTACAATAAAGTTTCATGACTAAAACCATTGCGCACCTAATGAACGTGATGACTTAATATAGTAATGGAGAATAGTTGATTAAAAATTATAATTAGTAAACAGTACATTCAGTGAATAAAATAAATAAAAGATAGCCTTTTATCAATCAATGCTAATAATAACATTCCAACAATAATGTACTCTTACACGTCTGCATAATTTGCATTCACATTTTGCTAATTATATTATTCCAACAATTATTCCGTCTTGCAGATTTTGCATTCACATTTTTAGCGTGAGTTCAATTTATCTTTGAATTACCTCCATTGTCAAAATTACTAAGCAGTTTAATTAGATTTTTCTACCGTACTGTTATTATGTTATTAATATGTATCCACTTTTTCTGGGAATATTAACGAAAACGATATTTGACATTGATCCTTTTAATATGTTTTAGCAATGTGCGTGTATTTAATATTCTCTTTACGTTATGCAAAATTGTACAAACAGTGGAAATTATAAAATAGCTCTATGCCGTTATATAAACAAACCCTACTCTATTACTTATAATAAGACACTGCGGTGCACTGAAAAGCACAGCATGGTGCGATGTTTACTTTTATGGTTTCAAAATCTATAGCGATGACAGAAGGACTGACACACACTCAGCCCGCTTATATTATAGATATAACTCAATAGATTCCTAAGCATCATAAAACTACTATCCAACAATCAGGAAATCAACAGTCTAGGTAAATGCCAGTAAAACAATTACTACCTAAAGATATAGTCAATCTATACAATGGAGTACACTAATGAACTAAATCAGAACTATCAATAAGCAAATATTATATTCCATAGAGGAGTATTTCCCATGAACCCCTAAAACAACAACCAGGTACTCGGCACAACCTCGAGATACCAAAAAATAAAACGGACTGCATCCTCAGTCTCGCAAAACAAAATCAACTATCTAGCGATGAAGATCAATTATCTCCAAAAACAACACTAAGCTAATGGGTTCATTATCCAACCAAGAAAATCAAACCTCTTAGGATAGAATAATTTAGCACATTGTACCTTAAATACCACGATACAACTCAATCACAAATTTCAATCGCCATATCACAAGATGACGCCTAACCAACTATTAGATCTAGTATATAAATATAATATCTAATGGAGGACAATTTTCCATGACCCGGGACAAACAAAATATCTCGGCAAACCATTGAGATCCATATAACCATAATCCATCATCTAACTAAGTTACGTATCAACCAGACAGCATCCAGCATGAATGGGTGACTACGACAATACAACTACTCTACAAGGGAAACAGGAAAAATACTGGGTCCAACAACCAAATCAGAAAATATATCCTCAATTGATATCATATCCAATAAACCAAAGAGTTCCTAAACCTAGCACTAACAAAGTAACAAATTCCTTATAGTCAATACATATTAAGACCATCCACAAAAAGGGAACCTAACGCTATATATTTCAATAACGCCCTCTCCAAGGCGCTTCCCTAAATGAGAATAGTTAATTGTAATTAACATAAGAAAAGTTAATTATACATTTAAATTTATGTATATACATAATAATACAATAACATACTCTATATCTCCATGATGGTAACTGGAGAGAGTAAAACCATATTGATCTAATAGTGTTAAGTAACTGGTATTGTTTAAAACTAAGCATCTTAACTTACTGAGATGGTAGATAGTATGCCCCAATATTACATGATTCACTACTAAATATTAAATAAAACTAGATTCTAAATTAAAGGGCAAAATGAAATGTCACACAATTAGTGTGAACTATGACACTGGTAACTGGATTCTAAATCTAGATCAACGATGTTGGGGAAAAAATTATATCCAGTAGGGCCTAAATAAATATTACTAAAATGAACACACACAAAAATTGTATTAGATCTTAGTATCTAAAAAAAATGGAAGAGGTGTACTCAACTTAAACATATTATAGTCAATCTATACAATGGAGGACACTAATGAACTAAATCAGAACTATCAATAAGCAAATACTAAGATCTGATAATGCAATGTGCCATGAACTTTGACATAATTAGAGGTGTTTCGTTCCTTTTTAAAATTATTAAATATTTCTATGGCCTATAGTGCACACTTACTTATAATTTAAGGCCTATATATAATAAATATAAGCCTTTTTAAAAAAAAGAAAAACGTAAATAGTAACAAAATATATGCGTGCACTAGAAAAATGTAGATCTAGAATCTAGAACTAAAACATAATGACAAAAAATTATTAGCTTTAAACATAATATTGCACCATATTTACATAACTGCTCGTGACTATATATACACCCTTCTCCCATGCATAATATACAGCGACCCATGCTCTATTTATATTATATATAGTTGGTTTATATAAAATGTGGTGCATTAATTATTGTGTTTAAAGATAGTCATTTTATTTTATTTCAAGCTTTTATTTAACTCACTTCCTCGTCAGTCTGTCTAGACGGAAACGCAGGAGTGAAAATTCGGACAGTTCTACTTGACCGATACGATTCACAGTTGGCACGTGGGTCAAGACATGAAGACAATGCAATCTGAAACTAAATTTGACTTAATTGGATGCCTAATTGATTTTTTATGATTTAATTAAAATTTGGACCGAATTAGTAGGCATATCTAGCCAACCACACCACACGCGTCATCACCTTCAATAGCTGCGCCATCACGTAATGGCTGTGTTCAAAAACCATTGCGCGCCTACTGAACGTGATGTTCAGTAGGCGCGCAATGGTTTTTAGTCATATAACTCTATTGTAAATAAAACATGTAAAGTACTGGAAAAAAAATTCATAAAAAACGTTTTAATAACAAGCTTTTATGTAATAATGCACTAAAAAGTAGAAAATAAATTATAGACTACTATTTAAATAACTATAAAGAAAAGCGTGGGTGTCTTCCTTAACATTAGTAAAGGTATCCAATAGATACTAAAGTGACCCACGCTTTTCTTTATAGTTATTTAAATAGTAGTCTATAATTTATTTTCTACTTTTTAGTGCATTATTACATAAAAGCTTGTTATTAAAACGTTTTTTATGAATTTTTTTTTCTTTTTAGGACAGTTGTTATATTTTTTATCAGTATTATTCAACAAATTTAATTTATATCAGTCTCATTTTGTTGCGACCGGGCACCCAAAAACATTTCAAAGTGCAATATTTAACTTGAATTGTGTTTTTCAAGGTTTCTAATTCTAATCTAAATTTAGATGGGTTAGCTGAGCCTAGTTTGGAGTCTTGAGTAGCCTATATGTTAAATGACCCACTCTCCCTGTCACCTGTCTATATAAAAAGGTTGGTTATTGGGCATTTGACTGCTATCTGAAGGTCTTAAGTTTAGATCCCAGACTCAAGTACTTAGGACGTATCTGAGTTGACTCAGATCTGATGGGTACCTGACTATGTTTAATAAAGGTCATAGAACCGACCACATGGTCACGGAAACAGGAAAACTCTTTGAAGTATGCCCTACTTACTGTAAGGTCCGAAAGGGTATTTCCACGTGCTTTATTTTTCTGTAAAATGATTATTATTGTAGTTCAAAATGGATTTCTCCGACGAAGTTTAAACTTAGAAATCTTTTTATTTTTTAATAAGGGGTCATCCAGAAATGACCTCACCCTTCCCCCCTACCCTCCGTCACACATCGTCACAAAAATCAAGACCCCCTTAATGACTTCACACCTCAGTCTACAACCCCCCTCAAAATTGCTGTAGAATTTTTCTTATAACATCGATATTATAATTCCAAAATCTTGTCAGAACTAGATTTATGTCAACATAGAGTATTTTGATCAATTCTACCACAATTTATTAAAAATCGTTTTGCAAAACGCAAAATAATGGCTAAAACTCGTTTTCTAACATTGCTTTTTTTATAATGCAAAAGTGTGGCGTCACACCATCTGAACACTCCCCCTCATCACAAACCGTCACAAAATTACTGCCCCCCCCCCCTCCCCCTACGAGTGTGACGTCATTTATGGATGACCCCTAAAATATAATTAGTAAAAGGAAAAGAAGGGAAATATGTAAGTGATTCTAAGTGATGACGCACTTCGAGCGTGAGGGGTGGGGAAATCCTAATTTGAAGTTAGGTGACGATTTGTAAAATATTACAGATAAAATTTCTGTTGGTGTTGTGTTAGGGTTAGGGTTCGCTTAGAGTTACAATTAATCTAATTGTGTGTAAGAGGCAGTCTATACATTACTATAGATTACATATTCTAATTTAATTCAGTTAAGTTTAGTTCAGTTTAGTTTAGTTAAGTTTAGTTTAGTTTAGTTAATTTATATGTTTAGATTAGATGGTGATGATCTATATTAGATCTATGTTTATTATAAGCATAGGCATTGATATATTAGCTTGGAGTTGTGTTAGATTATGCTTTGGGTGAAAAGTTAGGTTAGTTATGGTGTTGATTATAAGCATTGTTTAGTAAATTTAAAGTATGGGTTGGTTTTGCTTTCAACATTGTATAAGGGAGTCGTCCATAAATGACGTCACACTCGTAGGGAGGAGGGGACCGTAATTTTGTGATGAGGGGAGGGGGGGTCAGATTGTGACGTCACCTTTTTGCATTATTAAAAAGCAATTTTTGAACGAGTTTTAGCCGTTATTTCGTATTTTAGAAAACTGTTTTAATGAATTGTAATAGGAATTGATCAAAATACTCTATGTTGACAGAGTTCTGACAAGAATTTGGAAAAATATCGATGTTTTAAGAAAAGTTCAACAGCAATTATGAAGGGGGTTGTAGGCTGAGGAGTGACATCATTTTAGAGGGGTGGAGGTCTGGCTTTTTGTGACAACGTGTGGTGGAGGGGGGTAAAAATCGTAAAAAAAGTGTGACGTTATTTATGGATGACCCCTAAGTCGTTTAGTTTCTCTTAGTTTCAGAAAACGATTGAGATAATTTAATTTATTGTTGTTTTTTTTCCACGTTTATGCATGATTTGGCATAGGTCAATATTTGGTCACAAAATTAAGTGAACAACAAAATGTCTGTGTGTGTGTGGGGGGGGGGGGGGGGGGTTCCTTTATGCATTATTACACCTTTCATCCGATCGACATGAAATGAAAAACTATGTTAATTTTGAGCATACTCAATGGCAGGTTTCCCAGAAGAGCTACAAATTTAAGCGCCTGCGAATCTCGTTTACCTTTAGCTTAAAGAGCGGGAAAAAGACTTTTTGCCAGTTGTTAAAAATGTAACTTATGAATTCATTGAAACACATACAAGTTAGAAACAAAATGAGCAAAAAATTATTTTATTTTGTCTTCCATTTATTAAGTATTTCGCTTAGATCTAGGCCCTTCTTCTGTTCTCAATCTACCTTTGTAATTAGTACGTAGCAAACATCGCAAATACATCATATTCTTGTCCAGTGTTTCTTTTTTTTCTCAAGGAGGGCACTTGATATTTTAACGGGGGACCGGAGGGGGGGGGGACTACATTTTCCGGAGGGTGGGGGGGGCGGACACTGGTAAAAGTATGTTTTCTATATAAATTCTGTTTCATTCGGGGGGGGGGGGGGGGGGGAGCGGAAGCCTTTCTTCGGGGGGGGGGGGATTTTTTGGGGCGGGGGGGGGGACGACACACTGTCGAAAGTATATATTTTCTATATAAATTCCACTTTGTTCGGGGGGGGGGGGGTGAAAGAGATGCCTGGAAGAAACTCTGCCTGGAAGAAACTTTGTTCTTGTATTTGATTTCTCTGAAATTGATTAAACCATCATAAAGAAGTCGCATCCCACCTTGCCGAGCTTTGACTTACGTTGGTATTGTTTTCTGTACTATTGTCATCGTGGATTCTGGGGCTAATCGCTTAAAGTTTGTCAATATTTGTGAATGAGGCTGACCAGGCGAAATTTTGTTTTTCTCTAGGTCACCAGTAAACTTTTCTTCGTCAGATTCTTGTATCATACCTTGCATCAGAAGTACGTCTTCTAGATCAGAATGAACGCTAAATCCAGAGTGGATGTACTTGAGAAAGTTGGCATTGGAGTAACTCAGTCTTTTAGAGCGGCAAATAGATTGCGGGGGTGAACATGTACAACACTATTTTAGTTAACGAGTAATGTACTTGACGTGTAACTAACTAGTACCTACCTATAAAGTTCATGAAGTCTAGATCGGTGTTAGAGCCAGAAAGTATTTAATTACCGGTTTACTAACAAACATTAGGGTACTCTTGTAAATTCCCTAAATCTGACATCCTCACCTACTTCTGTAATAAAGGCGATCCACCTCCTCCCCCTCCAAGCAAAAGTTTGAAATTAACCTGATTAATCCTGTCATAAATGAAGCTCTCGTTGTTCATGAAGCGGCATAAGTACAGTTGGTGCTTGTTTAGTGTATTCTTGATAAGTTTAAAATAGTTCAAATTGACTATGCAAAACTGTGTGAGTGTAACCTTAAATTCACAATGATAAATAAACAAACGATATAAAATATAACTATATACAAATAATACAGTGTATGTGAGTAGCAGAACATTGGATAACTAACCTGATAGTCTCAAGTTCTAATAATGGTTGGGAAAATAAAGGTGGCTGAGCATTGTATTGAACTTGACTACACTATCCCTTCCTATGCTAAGGTCAGAGAAACTCATGATCTCTCCATCTGTCCCATGTACCTGAAAGGAAGCTTAACATGAATAAATAAAAAAAAATTAACAAAATACAATCGCAACAGGTCAGCTCTACATAATGGTTTTTAATTTATCATTTCAGCTTTATTATTCAGTGTTACATTTTTTACTGTTATAATGCAATTAGTTTACCTACAAAAGTCTGCACAATAAATTTCACCTTTAATTAAATCAGATTGGAAATTCTTTCATATTTACAATACCTGGTTTGTTTCAACCCATCACAGCACTTGGTTTTATTTTTTACTGTAATCATAAACCCATAAGCACAAAACACCTGCAAAACAATGACAAGATCAGTTTACTTTATTATACTATAGTATAAATGGTACTTAAAAGTGATACTAATATCTTAATTTAGTTTACACTCTTAAATGGAATACTTAAAATTTAGAATGTAGCATAGTCCCCCACCCCACAGAAGTCACATAAAGGGATCTGAACAATTAACTGTTAAAGGACTTACTGTAAGCATATTCTAAACCCAAACTGTTAAAGTAACATACATGGTAGTACTCTAGCCACTTGAATACAGAGGGTTGTAAATCAGTTGATTGCAGTGTTCAAGTTTAAAACATTGTTGGTATCTTTGTCCCTGTGTCTGTCTTATTCCTGTCTCCATGTTGAGAGAACCTGAAGATTAAAGTTTTGAAAGTAGTAAAAATTTAAATATAGTGCTTAGGTCTAAGGCCCAATTGCATCGCTAGATCGGATGTCACCCAAGTAACGATGTTTATCTTTAGTCTGTTAATAATACAGTTGGAACTTGGATGTAGCAATGTTTTCTCTATAGCTAGTACGTTTACGACATGGTATCACCCCCACCCTCTGGTAATAATTGTCAATTTGTAGGCCCTACTTAAAAGACTAACTTTAATTAATCATTAATGGGACTGGCAAAACATTTTTCTTCTGTATATTTTGCAATTTTTTTGCCTTGGTGTCACCCCCATAATTGGTGTCATCTGGTGCAGTCTGCACCCCCCCCCCCCCCACCCGTGCTATGCTAACTAAGGCAAGGGTTATCAATAAAAATGTTATAAATAGGGCCTATTAATAAATTACTAATAGGCCTAAGCCCTAAGCCTAACTAATAAATTATTAATAGGCCTATTAATTATAATTAATAATAAAATACGCTCAACTGGCGGTGAACGTGAAGCGGGGAATAAAATACGTTAAAATGGAGTTCCCCTTCTGGATCTAGATGTAATTATTTTGTAATTTACTCATCAGTGCCAAGATATATTTTATTTTCTACAAAAAGATCTTGATATTTCCCACCAAATCGATTTATTATGTTTTCTGTTGGATCTAGTTCCGGTATCGCAAATTATTTAAGTAAAATAAACAACGATCCTAGCTGTTCGATTACTTAAAAATATTTCAGCGGGATTTTGGCCAGTACGGCCAAGTTTAAAATATCTGTACTTTTGTTTCGCCACTACGGGCTAATCCCATTATGAGTGACGACCCCCTTTTATAAAAAGTAAGTGACCTGCGACCCCAATAGTATCAAAAAGTCAAAATTAATAAGCACTAAAATACGATTTTCTAGAACACTTTCAATATGATATATTCTTAGTAACTGTTTTAATTCGATGGGTGAAATTGCATGCTATTAACTAGCCTCAACATTCGCTGCTGAGTTTTTTTTTTAACGCCAACCACATGTCCTTCTCAACATTTAATTTATTTCTTTGTTTTGTTTTTAATTGGAGAATCTATTCTCGCAAAGATATGAAGACACAAAAGGAACTAAAACTCAACAGGCAATCAATTACACATTTGGGTATGAATGCTGCATATTACACGTAAATTGTGTGACTTATTTTTCTTTGCCAATTTTGCAGCTTTGATAAAGATGCCAAGAGATTTGCATGAAAATAGATAATATTCGTTTATTTTCCTTGCAGCTTCAGGTTAAGCTTATGTTGATGTTGGAATACATCTGCTAGGTATGATACTCTCACCAACCACTCTTTGGCATTAAAAGTATATCAAAAGATCTTGTTTCCCTTCACTTCAAAGAACAACTTGATTTTATCTTGCAATTCAAAAAACATAATTCACAAAATTTCCTTTTGACAGCCAGTATACTGTAGTGTAGAAAAGCAGAACCTCTTGATCTTTATTCTTGTCTTTTCACAGTTCTTTAAACAGGCTGGGGTTTAAGGCTATAGGTTTAATAAAATCAGGGGTGCCACTTTTCCAGGATATCCCGGAAAAAAATCAAGACTGTTTTGAAAATTGTTTTTATCAATGAGACTCCAGAGCATTTTTACCGCTTATAGCCCATAGATGGTACCATATCCACTGCTAGGCCTCAACTTAGTGATGTCATTAGTATTATGCCGCTATTTTGGTTTTTTTCTTTACTGACATTTAAACATGAACTTAGAAAGAATCTAAATAGAGAATTTGATGGTTATAAAATTTAAAGTTCGAATGCAGTATGCAGTAATTTTTTAGCAGGAAACCATTTTGCAGGACTAAACTAACATTTTACAAATGCATCTCTGACCATTACTGGCTTTTGTATACCCGACATCATGCTGATATGTGATAACGGTCACTGCGACCTTTTTTTTCCAAGGCTTAATATGATTTTATCATGACCTTGTAGTGTAGTAATGATGTGGTGATCTGACTAAAAATTTTAAAATAATACTAGGATCGCATGTAAAGCAGTCTTGTTTAATATTCTGATGATATCACCAACAATCTCGGATGGGTCAGATACAAACTTCTGTACTTATCCACCTTCTGTTAAACTTTTTTTGAAATCTTTGCAACTTCTGACAATTAGGGCTAGACTAACCCGTTCCTCCTAATATAACTACCGTCACTGATATCTAAACTTGTGTGAACTAAGATCTCAAGTATATAGTTGGTACCAGGGGGGGGGGGGATAAAAGTTACGTCAGTCCATGCTATACTTAATGTTGGCTGGACTATTGTGACCTCACAGTGACCCAAATAATACCCAAATATTTTAATAGCAAACAAAGGTTACTCAGGGTTTTTTTTTTTTTGCTCCAATTTTTTCTTTACAAGTAGCCTGTCATTTCCAAAACACTATTTACTTACCTTAATTAGAGCTGCATAAAGCGTAATTAGTTTGGTCAGAAATAATTTCCCTTTTTTTTCATGGTCCAGTCTCATCCCTGGTTAAATAATAAAATACATCTGCTATTTAACAGTCGGCTGACTACACATTTTAACTCAGTATAGGTAGTACTAAAAGTTATATACCTGGATATGCTATAAAGCAGGCATACAAGAGTGTACATTTCTTCCACTTTTTTGTATTTTAGGCCAACAAAACATTACTAAGATATTAGATACTCATTTCTTTATTACCTACAGAAACAAAGTGTAACTACTGTCACTATAAGTATAAACTTATTTACAAATGCAGTTATTTTGTATTTTGGTTCATATGCATGGGGTTGTTGGGGCAGAGAGGAGTCTAAAATCAAACTTAAAGACTTAAAATATTAATTTTTGTTTAAAGATTGTTATAAAGATAATTAGTCCACTAAATGACCTTATGTTGAACATAATATGTATAAAATATCTATAAAAGTAATAATATAAAAGTTGATTTTATTTTTAAAGTTTTAGGGTTTTAAAAAGTATCTAATGTTGGTTTCAAGATTGGTAAAATTTGAGGATTGATTTTCAGGATTCACTTAAAAATTGCTTTCATAGGCTTTGCAGGCGAACACATCTCTTCTGTGTGTTCATTTTTAACCATTATTTTGATAAATATACAATCTAAAAAAATTAGCCACCTTATAAAATAAAATCACTAGTGAAAGGATAATTTAGTAATCACATGTAAAGTAGAAATTTGAAAAAGAAAGTCTTGTTTGCAAAGTATCTGACTAAGGGTTACTACAATATTCTTATGTTTGGCATTGCATGCATATTATTCTGTTTGTCCTCAAATCTAGGCTATTGATTTGTCACAGAAGGAGGAAACTGTCACATGTACACCACTTGCATTACGTAAATACAAAAAACCATTCATCATAAAGTCCCATTCTTTTAGTGTAAGTTTTAATCATATGCTATAGCTTACACTGTACAAGTATCTTCTTTTTTTTTTGCCTCTAGCATGATAAAATGCTTTATTTTGTAAATGAATGATTTAGAATAAGTAATTTAAGAAAAACTAAAAAGTAATAGAACCTCATTTAAGAAACACAACCATGACATTTGAACTTAAATGTGATGTGATTGTCTTTTTCTTGACATCAATAATGACTTTAAGATGTTCCTAGCATAACATAAAAATACTTTTTTTTCCAAATCATTTTGTGCAAATGTCTATTTTTACTTCTTACTTGAGGTTAAGTTTTATTTAAAAAAATTTAGTGTGAGATATTTTGTTTTAATAAATACCTTGTCAATTTTCATTTTAAATATAAAAAAGTCTATTTAAAAATAAGGTATAATATTTTGTTTTGCTCTAACTTAACACATTTCATTCATATTTTTATTATTTAATGTAGTTGCAATTTGATCAATTTAAAATTACATTTTTGAAGGATAAACATTTGCTTTAGTGGTAGTTCATTCCAAAATGCAGATCATTCTCTTGTATCAATATATAAAATGTTTTTACCTGTATATCTAATGCTTCTAAATCCACAAACCATTTTCATAACATATCTAAATCTGCTTTAGCATTATAAATTAAGAGTATTTATTCAGTCTATCTTTCTTGCTACTCCTCACTATTTGTATTATTGCTGTTTTAATTTTTTAACTTATTTAAAAGAAAATATAATTCCTAACTATTACTAAAAAATTGCTTACTAAATGAGTGTCATTTAATCTTAAAATACTACCTTGATTCTCCCCAGATGTATTGATATATATAGAGGTGGTTTTTACCAGTACACCAGGGAAGGATATGGGGGGGGGGGGGGTCAAAGTTCTGTTTTCGAAGGACCTGGAACCATACATCCTACCATTGAAACATACATCATGCATGCATAAAAATAATTACTCTGCACCCAAAGTAATTTTTTAAACCATGAAATTGAGGTTGTGGAATTTTTTCAACATTTTTTGTGTATGATTTAAAAAACTAAATAAAAATATAAAAACCAGTACAATCTTGACAAAAATAGTTGAGTATGTAAATGCAATCAGTTTGCAGTATCATCGATTGTAAGCTTACTTGTTACTGATGTATAGAGTGGTATTGATCTTACAGACAACACAAATTGTATTCATATATGAGGGACGAATTTTGTCTCATCTGCATTTTATTTAGAAAATCAGCACTGCGCCCTGAAAGATAATTTAACTAATTATTAACTACATTTATTTGTGATATTAATATTTGACTTACACTTTTAACATGTCAGAATTTAAAATAATGTAAATTAATGTTATAATCACATCTAGTAAAAATTGGACAGAATTTGTTTTTAATTTGAAGAAAAAAATCACCAAAATCTTGGCTTTTATGATGAAACAGTGGACTTTCTATGAAGCATTTAAATATTTTTAGAATTATCTGCAGTGTTGTTAAAACAGATGTGATCATACACTTAATCTTTTTGAAATTTGCTGTGTTTTTATTTTATTTTGATATAAATAACGAGCTGACGCCACCATCTAGTTGTTTTATTTTCTGCTTATCAGCAATTCATAATTTATGAATTCAACACTACCCCCTCCCGCCCAGTGAAAGCAGCCATTTACAGACAAAGAAATGATCAATCAGAAATTGTTACCTCCCCTTCGTTTCAAATCGTTTAATACTAAATTATCTGCCCCTAATAGCCGTTACTAACCCGGCTCTACAATTGTAAACATTCAGGGTGAACCACAGCTCACCTGACAGGTAGGGATGAGGGTGGTGTCTAAGCTGCGTGGTGTTTTCTATGGTCTCCATGAAGAGAATTATATATATATAGACTAGACATTTGAGGTTTAAATGATTAATTAATTAGTGATTGGCTGTTATGTAGAGTGCTTAAGTTTAAACAGTCTGAGTAATTAAATATCAAAAGGTTGATTTAATATTCACAAAGTAATTTCTCGAAAGGTGATTTAGAACTTCAAAGGCTTCCTTAATAGTGTAACTCAAATATTAAATTAAATTAACTTTTGAAATTAATTTTTACATTTAATTACGATATATAACTTAATTTATAACAAAACTTCTATTTAAACAAATATTATATTTTGTTATTTTCAGTTTTTGTTGAAAATAGGAAAAAAATTATTTAAAAATTATTAATTTAAAAAATTACCTCCCTTGTACATATATCAAATAACAGTCTTTGTTTACTTTTTTAAAAACAATTATTTATATAAGAAATAGGGCATCTGGACAAATCTAACAGCCCTAAGGGAATAAAGTTCTTTTTTGTCACTCTCCAGGGTCAGTCTACTACCTCACGAAATATTAGGGTGATTATTCGGCAATTTTTTAATATATAGCTCATGTAAGGATAATTTCATTTCGTAGACCTCATCAAGGGCTTAGAGTCAAACCAACAGTTTTCCCATACGACCTAGTCATCTATAGAGGTGCATGCAAAAAATTAGCCAGATGCACAGAGGTTAAATACCCTAAAATCTGTGTTGAAATTACCCTGGTTTTCCCATAAATTACAAAGATTATATAGGGAAATACGACTGGTCAGTTTTGACCCCTTAGTAGATTTTTCCTGGATATGGCGAATTTTTTCTAACATCCCTAGGTGTTTTTCTACCACCTCACAAAGTATCAGGGGGGGGGGTGTTATTCGGCAAAAGTTTTTTTCTATATATAGCTCATCATGTTTTAGCCCTCGTTGACGGCTTTGAGTTGAATCAACAGTTTTTCCAATGTTTTTTTCCGATGTTTAAGATTGTTGGCTGCAGTGCTAACAATCTACAGCTATTCCAAAAACATAAATAATGATGTGCTATAAAAATGGTAAATTTTGGTTCAGATGTTTTTCAAGTATTAATTCCAAAACACTTTTTAAAATAAATATCAGACCCTTTCTAATTTCAGCTAATCTACTTGTTTTCATTGTCCATCATATGAACTAAAACTTTCAAATTACAATTAATCTAAATCTAGTCTCTTTATAGTTGATGACTTACGTTTTTACCATGCTCATGTTTAAAAGAATATAACTTATATAATAAGGAATAATTTGAAATTGAAAATAACAGTAAAACTAGATTATTACATTTAAAATTAGCTTATTTTAAAAAAAAAACTTGATGGCCACTTTTGTTACATTGATAAACTTAATATTTTAAAAAAAAATTGTTTATAAGGTAAACATTGAATTGCAATTAGGCAAGACTTTCAATGTTTTTTTAGAGCAACATAAACTTCTTTTCTTTAAAATATTAGCTACATTAAACAATTAATTAGTACAGTAACAGTGTGAGACTGCTTTAACTTTAAAAAAATAGATAAAACATATTAACGAATTTTTTGGAAAAGAACTCAATATGTTTTATCTATTTTTTTTCATGGTCTGGTCACATCCCTGGTTGTTACAGGTTATTCTTCTATTTTACTCACCCAATTTTTTTGTTAAAACTGTATCAACCGTTTCTGTCTTTAAATCCCCATTTGCATGCATAGTTATCAAAATGGAAGTATCAAAGCTGATCATTTTGAAATTCTGAATAGGCCTACATAAAAAAAAACCCAGGATTCTCCAGTTTTAAAGTATAATAAAGTGACAGCCAGGGAGTAATGAGAGGGGTTTAATGTCTTGTACGCTCATGACAACTACAATGATTCTTTGGGGATCACCATGACCTCTGTCACCATCTGGTATACAGATGTGAACATTATCTCCCACTTCAGCTTGTTTAAAATTTGTATCTGATTTTTTAGCGTCGTGACACCTTGAGTTTGCAAGCTAGTATGAGATGCTCACCTGTTGTCCATGATTTCATGTTTATTGTTACATAATCTACAAGTAATGTTCCCTACGTAACCTTCGTCTGCTTCATTGGTTATTCCGCAAATTGCATGGGCATTGTTGCCACAGGATCCACAAGAATGGGGGGCGGAGTGGTCTAGCGGTAGAGAGCTGGACTGCCAACCCGTAAGTCTAGAGTTCGAATCCGGGTTCAAAGTCAGTAGACCGTCCCTGAGTCCACCCAACTCTGATGGGTACCTAACTCACGTTTGGGAAAGTAAAGGTGGCTGGGCATAGTGCTGACCACACTATCTCTTCATATGCAGAGGTCACAGAAACAAGTGAACTCTACTTCACTTGCCCCACAGACCCTCAATTTGAAAGGGAAACTTTACTTTACTTTACTTACAATATTTTTCACAAACTGCACATAATCTATTGGCCATTTTATTGTCAAGCAACTGGTCTGGACGTTTTGCCACGGCATCATATGTGTTAGCTGAGGATGTTGCATTTATGGCAACCTCCTTTTCTTGTTCAATGTTCTCAAGATCTTCCTCAGTAACTAAATTATCGGGAGCCTTTCTTGGTAGATTTGAAGTGCTGTCCCACTTTTGTTTTGCATCCAAATAAGGCTTTGAATGTTGGATTCCTTGAAGAAGAGAATATTTTTTCATAAATAGAATGAATTGAGACTCTCAGCCCAATGAGATGATTCATTTGTCTGCATCCATGTCATCATGTTTTGAACATCTTCGTTGGCATATTCTACTGAACTTTGGCTATGCCTTGCATTTCCGTGAACTAGTCAGGCCACTTGTTCTTTAGTTCAGAAATAACTTGATTCACAAATTCTCTTCCATTAGGATTTGGATTATTTATTTTGACACCCATCTGGTATGTTTGTCACATGTTCTGACTGCCCTTTTGGTCCATGTCGCATTGCATATAGAATGCTATACAAACAATACGTTACTCACAATGAAACCGCACCCAGAATAATGAAAACACGATCACAACTTAGTCTAGATCGGACATCCCGGCCAGTGTGCGCATTGGCTGGCCAATGTATGAAATACTTTGTCAATTTTAAACTCTTCGGCCAGTGCTAAGCTCTTCGGGCTTTGGCCAAGAGAACCGACCCTTGCGCACATTGGCCGGCAAATGTGTGCTTTGTCAGCATTTCGGGCTTTGACAGTAACATTTATACATATACACACATATATATATATATGTGGTGTGGTGTGTTTTATATATATATAGCCATTTATATTGTTGTTAGAAATTTTAAAAATTAATACAAGATTTTTTAAAAATTGTTGAATAATTGTTTTACTTTTATAATTTGTCTTAATTTGTAAGTTTATCCTGCAGGATAAACAAACTGAAGGAAAAGATCTACCTACACCTAGCTCAACTCCTACACAAAGTAGAAAAAATCGTAGAAGATCAAATCTTTTTAATGTAAGTATTTTAGTAAAAATACTTTAGTTAATAAAGGCCTCATATTTTTGCAATATTTTGAAGTACTATTACACAGTGTTTACACTTACAACTGTTTTGTGGTATTTCTTTTTCCACAAACTGTTAAACCAGCTAGTCCGGTTCCTCATATCTCAAATTTTTGTCAAAGCAACTGCTCATATCTCAAATATCTTTTATGTCGAGGCTGCACTCTATATATCATTTAAACATTGAGGCCATTGTGTTGTTCTATCTTTTTGAGTTAGTTCCATTTCATTTGCTTGGAAGTGATCATGTAAGCTTTTTTTTCCCAATAAACAATTTATGGTGGAAAACCTTCTTTTCATAAAGGGATAAGAATACTTAGGAAGCCACTTACATTTATGGTTGTATCTGTGTAACTACTGTGTATTTTTTCCTAGCCTAAGTCAAAAGAAGAAGAAAAAAAGCAATCCATTGATGGAGAAAAAGTTGGAAGTGGTCGAACTATTCCAATCAAACAGGTAAGGCTCACTCATTTCAAAATTAAAAGTGTAAGTCAACATTCTCATCGTTGGGGTGTACTAGTGTTTTTCAAAAACAATTCTACATCTAGATTTAAATCACATTTTTTCACAATAACGTAGCCGACTGTCATCATTATGCTGTTTTGTGACAATATAAAAAAAATTGGTCTTATTTACCTTATATTAAAGAAAATGTGGACAAATGTGAATACAGACATGTCTACCATCTTGTAAAAAGTGGAATTGTTCAGCTTTTTTACAAAATTTTTGTCCCATTCTGGTTTCATTGAAGTTTGTCCCACTTTCTCAAAAAAAAAAATTGATTAAGTGAACATATAGAATATTATAGAATTAATTGTAAAAAACGAATAAATCGACCTGAAAAATGAGTAGGGAAAAGCCATTATTTACGTTTTCCTGTTTACTTAGTGGTCATCCATTTAAGACATCCACAAAAATTTTGAATTTTAGACCCCTCTCCCCCTGTCCACACACTTCCACTGTCGACGATACATAACACGATTAACGTGCTAATTTCTAGAACTAAATCTCAAATAACTCTAACTAGGTAGGCCTGCCCTTAACAAGCACTTGCTCTTCAGCTATTGTTCTTCATATGGCCTAGTACATGTTAAGGTAGGGATCATTGAAAAGAATCTGAGATAGCATAAACTAAGGTTAAATCTAATCAATAATGGTATGGTTATGGATTTGGGGGAGGGGGGTCTCAGGTTACTAGTTAGCATACTTTTAAAAAAAAATTAAGCTGACATTAAGCAGTATTTAGATGTTACCTAGAGACTTTTTTAGAAAACTACAGGCCTATAGAATACCTATACCAGTGGTTCCCAAACTTTTTCAAGTGGTGACCCCCTTTTATAAAATAAGTGACCTGCAACCCCCATAGAATTAAAAAGCCGAAATTAGTATGGAAATTAATAAACACTAAAATAAGATTTTCTAGTAGACTTTTAATATGAACTACTCTTGATAACTGTTTTAATACCATGAGTAAAATTGCATGCTATTTACTAAACATTCGAGGTTAATTTTTTTTAAAGTATTTTTTTTTTGTTAACGCCAACCTATGTCATTATCAACATTCAATTTATTTCTTAATTTTGTTTTTAATCGGAGAATATTGTTGAAAGTCTATTCTCAAAAAGTCAATCAAATTTTACATTTGGGTATGAATGGTGAATACTACACCAAAATTGTGTGTGCAGTTTTTCATCTCCAACCACTCTGGCGTTTTAAGTATACCAAAAGGTCTTGTTTCCTTTGCACTTCCAAGAACAATTTGATTTCAGATTTCAATTCAAAAACACTATTCACAACATTTCATTTGACAGCCAGATTACTGTAGTGTAGAAACGCAGAACCTCATGATTTTTATTCATGTCTTAGCTCAGTTCTTTGAAGGCTCCAGATTTAATATAATTTATGACTTCTACTTGCAATGGAGTCTTGATGGCAAGGACAGTGGTTAGGAAGCTAAATCTTTTCTGTTTTCTGAAAGCCCGATTTTGACCTAAACATAGATGGCGCACCATCCATACACATCCCCACAGCCGTTTCAACCCATTTTAATCATCCAGTTTCAAAAAACTTATTTATTTTCTCCCTGCTATCTTCACAAAATAGCAACTCTTCTTTGCTAACATCTGAATGAATATAGACAAAGACCAGCAACTGCGAACACAAACTCACTTCTGTTGATTTATTAACTTGAAAAGCAGACAATGGTGAAAGCTTGATTTCAATAAAAAATGTGTAATTTAACATCAACGGACATGTCAGCTATAAGTCATGCACTAATGCTGTGTTTCCTTGGTGAAAACTTCCTGTTCGATCAAGTCTCTGACATTTGCAACTAGCTTCATGCTGAAGAAAGAACTCCATATCTTTTTTTTTGTGTGTTCCGAATGACTAGTCTCAAATGATGTTTTAGTTTTGAAGATTTCACAAACTCATGACTGAGAACAACTTTGTACAGTACGCATTGCTTCTTCTCTATTCCATTTCCAGTGATGTTAGTAAAGCCAAATTTCAGATATTCTTCTCAATATTTACATTGTGTTTCTCATTGCTAAGGTTTAGTATACCAGTTGAACACCCCCCAGAAAGCCCTTCGCGACCCACAGTTTGGGAACCCGTGACCTATACTGTGTATAATCTCATAAAACTTATTTAATTATTTATTTTTGGTTTAGTAGCATCTGCACCTAAGACGGTATGTTCCTCTTTTTGCCTTCAAATTCGTGTTTTTGGTATAACTGTTCCTACTTTTGGTGAACAGGGTTAGGCATGTCTGCAGATCGTATCCAATTCTTATGCAAAATCATTGCCCTTGTTTCTGAAAAAAATGTTTTGGGGTAGACAGCCCTGCTCATCTGTCTGGGAGTTTGAACTAGGGTCTTTTTGGCTTAACAACCAGGAGCTTTACCAGCCACCACAAGATGAAGATGAATAAGCCACATTGCATTACATAACATTGCGTTATGTTACAATGCACCGCATTACGTTCCTCAATATAAAGCAATGTATGTGTGTGTGTCTGATTTGTATGCATTACTACACTTTTCATCCAATCGCTATGAAACTTTGGGAAGTTGTTAAGAATACTCATGGGAAAGTACCTGCGGGGAAAAAAAAACTTCAAATTCGCAGGGGTGATTCTTGATTCTTCTCTATATACGGAATAAAAAATAACAGTCGTTTGCCATTTGACTCCGTTCATACGATCACCAATAAACTTTAGGGAGTTGATTAAAACACTTCTAGGGAGGTTTCTGCAAATTTTTTTTTTTATTTTGCAAGGGTTTCTGCGGGAAAAAAATATTTTTACTTTCTCGTATATACAAAGTATAGAGAACGGAAAAACATAATTTTACAATCTTGTCCGTGTGTGTCTGTCTGTCTGTGAACACGATAACTTGAGTACCGTTACAGCTAGGTTGATGAAATTTCAAATATAAGTATTTTATCAAAATCGTAGATCCATATCAACTTTTGAGCGATTTACGATAACCGGAAGTAGTACTTTTTCTACTTTGAATTTTTCAAAAGCGTATAACTTGAGTACTGTTTCAGATAGATAAATGAAATTTTACATGTAAGTAAAACATCTAATTCTCTACCTTCTGTCAAATTTTGAGTAATTTCCGTTGACCCGACCGGAAGTACTAATTTACGCTATTTCCGATTTCTTAAAAAACGCATGTAAATTTATAAAGTACTAATAATATTCCGCACTATTATGCACATTTTGTTTTGTCGTTCGCTCGGTGCGCAATTCTTTTGTCTACTAGATTTTATTCTATTTTTAAAAGTCTAAGTAAACAAAAATCATGTCTATATTCCGAGTTGCCATCCAACGTAGTGTTATATTAGAATATTCGAGTTAGTTTAGGGGAGATCACTCCCGGTTTATTTTAAATATATGGGTGGCACCTGGGAGGGTGCGATGTTTGTCAATACCTGGTTTGGCGCCTAGAGTTCCAGAGTGGCTATCTAAGCACTTGTTATCTGTTAATCGGGCATCCTGCATACTGGGTAAGGAGTACTACTATATTCTGCCGCAGCGCCCCAACTATTGTGTGACGCAAAGCACCTCAGGCTCTCCTGTGAGCACTAGCGTCCCTGCAGGGCTCAAACTGTGCCCTATGCTTTTTTGTAAAGGCAATGGTGCCTACGTTCATTCTAAACAGTGTGATAGATGGGGCATTATAGTTATAGTCGTTCACTAAACATAATCAGGTGTTTTCACCGCCTGCGCTATCCTGTGAGAACTATGGTGCCTACATTAGTTTTAAGGAGCACCCTACAATATTGACAACTGAGCCAGATAGTGTTATCAGGGACTCATGAGAGCGCCCCTCTGTCCCTGTAACTTAGGCAGTGCGTGAACAATGTTGATATTATGGTGAACGATAAACATACTGGGTGGTAGTTTAGGTAAACCTGTGCCCCGAAAAATATGATCCAAACCCAAGCATTGTTTACATTTAAATAACTCTGTTTTTAAAAAACAAGGTGACTCCTTTAAGTATATAGGATTGGTAAAGCATTGATGAAACCCGCCTAATATATTTCGTTAGACTTAATTTGTCTTTTATGCATTACTACCACATTCATCCAATGGCCATGAAACTTTGGGAAGTTGTGGAGAATACTCTTGTGGAGGTTATTGCCAAACAAAATTTTCAATTTTGCACTGGTAGCTACCCGCCCTGCAGGGATCAATTTGGCACTCCAGGCTGTCCCATGAACACTATGGTGCCTATGTTAGTTTTGAATAGTGTGCTGGACCATGGATAAGATGGGGCGTTTTAGTCATTCACTAAACAGAATAAGGCGCGTCAGCCAACGCCCTTGAAAGGTGCGATTTCCCCCCGGGCTTTCCTCTGACTTTCTTCTAACCCTGCCGTAACACATGGGGACGGGCACTCTAGTAACAGTAACATGTATAGCTCTGTGATAAAAGTTTTAAAATTGCTATTATCGACCCAAAGTATTCTTACTGATACTGTAAGTTTAACCATTTATATTTATAAAAATTAAAGTATGTTTGTCCTTGATGCATTACTACACATTTCATCCTGTCACCATGAAACTGTGAAGTTGTTAGTATAATCCTTAGAAGGTTTCTGCAATAAAAACAAATTAAATATAGGTGGTTCCCCGACACCTTAGTACCTGTGATATATTGATTGGGTGTCTTGTACATAGGGTCATACGGCGCCCATAACACTTGATGTGCCCTGGGTTCCACAATGGTTGTTTTAAAGAGTGCCATACACTAGTAATATAATAAATATTTAACTCTTTTTTAAATTGCTTTAATAGTTTCTTGTATTATAATTGAAAGTATGTTTTGTTAGATATTTTGTTGTCTAGATCAGTTCCGAAGGCTAAAATTATATGTAAACTATATGGAATAACAATTTTAAGGAAGAGAAGTAAACCATTGTAGTTAATTATTGATAACGAGCTGACCCGTGGCGTAGCATACACTGCTATTTAGTTTTTTTATTTTTTACTTTTCAGTAATTCTGAATTGGTAAATTTGACACAACCAGTGCTGCGACTGAAAATATTTTGCTTTAGAACACTATCAGTTGCTCATGAAGGATGACTATCCTCACCCTCCCTTTTCTTCCCCCCCCCCCCCCCCCCCCCTTGAAAGCAGCCGCTTTTGACAACAGTTTACAGACAACCACGAAAAGATCAAGCGCAACTTGTTACCTCCCATTATTTTCAAATTGTTTAAAACTAAATTATCTGCCCCTAATAGCCATCACTAATTTGATCCAGTTCGACGATTTTTAAACATTCAGCATGAACCACAGCTCACCAGACTGATGGGGCTGGGGCAATATTATCTGTTGAGCGAGGGAGGGGTGGGTTGGCATGCATACATGGTGTCCCACGTAGAGAATTATATATATTGATATAATGATTAATCATATTTTTAAATTTATTTTTATGCCTGTTGTCCTCCCTTGACAGGCTCTGCTGCTAGTTTATTAATGAATATTTACTTTTTTTTATTGTTTACAGGGCTATTTATATAAAAAAAGTCATGGCTTAAACAAAGAATGGAAAAAGAAATATGTTGCCCTCTCTGATGATGGAAAACTTGTATATCATTCTAGTTTACATGTGAGTAAACCATCTATGCCAATTAATACATTTAATCCTTTTTTGTTCAAAACTTCATCATGTTGGTCATGGTATTTTCTTAATTATACAGAACTATGTTTAAAAGAATTTGTTCTCAAATTGGAAGTTATTGCTCCAAGTGGGTGGATAAAAAGGCAGTGCAAGCTTGAAGGAGAAACTAATTATCCTCTGTAAATAAAGAAAATTTTAGGTTATACAAGGTTTTTCTTAAAATTAATCACGATATTTGAATATTTTAGATTGAGATTGATTAGAAGAGATAATTAATTACAAAATAACAGTTAAAAACAAGAGTATGACTTTTCCAACTTGATTTCCTAATTTTTCAGACAACTGTTTCTCTACTATTTTTCTGCAACATATTTTGACCACACAAAAAAATTTGTAAAAATATTCTAAAGTGTTGCAGTTGAAAGAAAACAAAATCTTCTGAGCCCAGTTTAGCATGTCTGGTAGTGTAGGTACAGTTTATCTACTGGTATTTTTAATTCGCATTTCGTTTAAACTAGTTCGCCCTTCTAACATTTCTTGCTGCTTTCTAAACTTTTAATAAATTTTGAGATGCTTGTGATAAGTGATTATGGACTACACTAGCCCGCCCTACCAACATGTCACAGAAATGCCTACCGTCCCGCTAAAAGCAGTATTGTTCTGCTTTTCAAAAAAATCGTTTCCTGTTCCACCGTCCAGTTTTTGTCGAAATTTTTTTTTTTTAAATAATTAATAAAGAAAAGTAATAAAAAGAATTGGAAAAAAAAAAGGCAGGGAAAAAGCTATTATCTCCCTTTAGCACACGTTTCCGTTTCCTAGTTTACTTACAATATTTACAAGTATCATCTAATACTAGATCTACTAAAATATAATGTGGACAATCTAGCTTCTGAACGTTCTTTTCAGTATGTACAATTGAATTATAGATTAAATTATGCCTAACATGTAGAGAGAAAATACAATAAAATCTTGTAAGTTGTAACTAGTAACTACTATTATGAATAACTTATGAAGAAGTAAATCGGACTTTTACTACAGTAATACAATGGCATGGAATCTGCCAGACAAGTATGGGCTGTGTATGTTTACCAAGGCTGTGGGGTAAAAACGTTTACTACCCAACCCTTCAACCTTTACCCTCCTCCTAGTATACTGCTTGTTGTGGACCACACCACTTTTGACTACTAGCGTACTAGAGCCTGTGTCTCTGATAGCATTCACCACCCGTCCGTTCACTTTACATTTGAATGTTGATAGTTTGTTTTCTCACACAGTGTTCATCATGTACACCTGTTCTGAATTGTTGTTCTGCTGTTTGAGTTGTTTGGGCGGGGTGGGTTGTTGTCATATGTGCACTGCCATCAGGGCTTTCCGCAGTCTCTCTGGTAATGACCGACTCCGTTGCAGTTATAGCACTTGATACCTGGAAGTTGTGTCTTCATATATTTTGTTTATAGATGCTGCCTCGATCTATTTTTCTAGTGTAAGTTTTAAGTCATTAGTAAACACTTTGAAATCTTTGTCTTTCCTAGGTTGTAGTTTATGGAATTTTGGTGATAAGTTTCTTCCGTCAGGTGGTAAAACTCTAGTAACGTCTGTTTTAGTGTTTTGTAGTCTTTGATTTCTTCGTCCGTCAGTGTGTGGCAAGCGTCGAGTCCTCTTCCACCAACCAGGGTGAGCAAGTGTTGGCTCATCATATTGTTGGCCATGTTTTTGGACTTGCCGATCGTTTCAAACCGTCAAATAAATATCCACAATTTTGATCATAAAATAGAATTAACTTTATTATCAACTCCTGCGTCCTATGTCATCGGTAACATTGTCGCGCCATGCTCACGTCACACTCATGCCACAAATATTTTATCAAACACGCACACATACTCTCGAACCAATCATCATCTACCACCAGTTTACACGCTCCTTATTAGTCTCTACCAGTCTAGTCTTATTTCTATGACAAGTAGTATTGTTGTAATACTACCACAATAGACATATTTAGCAATGCATATTTACACTTTCTATTGATTTTTCTTTTACATCTCCATTACTTTTCTCTATATAAATCTATATTCAATCGTGAGGACCCTTGGTTATTTTCTAAGCCTATGTGAACTTAATGTTACCGCGCTGTGTATTCTAGAGGTCGATCTAAATCAAATTTATTTATTTAGATTGCAGTTCAACACAGTCTGGTTTAATATTTCTCTTGTCCATATTAAGGATTACTGTTTACTGTATTACCAACAGAAGACAAAGTGTGGCTGACTATAAAACAAAGTATTGTAAAAATTAGCAGATATTAAGAATCAGATGTCTGGAAAAATAGTAATTAAAAATTCTGCTTGACATTATGTTTCTTAAGCATTTCAAAATTTTAGTTTAAGTATTGGTAAAATTTTTGTATGGATTAAGAAAGCGGCACCCCTGCAAATATTACATTACGGGGTCAAGGTGGGTAAAACTTAAACTTTTTTTGGTATATGCATAGCCCTTTAAATATTAGTTTTTGTTTAAAGATTGTTACAAAGAGAATAAGTCCACTAATTTTCTGGTCAAACAATTTTAAGAACCCTGTCTGTTATGACAGCATTTGTGTAAAAACCATTGAGGCTACACAATTTAGGAGTAGAATTTGAGTAGAATGTGACAAAAATGTGCGAAAAAGTGAAAAGAAATTGAATCCACATTCACAACTGTATGTGTCAATTTTATATTACTTGGACAAAAGTTGTTTTTTTCTGACTCAAAGCATTTTCTTAATTTCAAAGCATTTTTTGTAACATACAACGAAGTCTCAAGTTTTTCCTCCTTTTGTGGATAAAATTTCATGAAAAGAATGTTCTGGCAAAGTAGCAGCATATATTGCTCTCAGTATGTTGACTGAAATTACACCTTGTCTAAAAAAACATTGTACAAACATTTTTTTTTCATTTTGTGTGGATCTAAGTTCACACTACTCTATGAGTGTAGCATCGTTAAGCTTTTATATATTAAACAACCAGTTGAAAAATTGCCCTTTTTGAAGCTGCAGTAACCAAACCACCTAGCTTATGTTTACATCAACTCAAAGGAATTGAAATTGGGTATTTATTCTTTATATACAAAAGAGATAATTGATCTTATTCTAAATTATTTTAAATGTATTTAATTCAAACCCAAAATAACATAATATTTTTTTTTCTCTATTTCCAGTTTGTCAGACTTACAAACATAAATACCTTCTTTTTATCTTTGTAGCATGTACTATGATTGTTGTTATATGTTATTATAATTTTTTTTTTTACATAATATATTATTCTATAACTAGATTTGAGGGAGAAATGCAACGCCTGCTAGGTTGATAGTGTTGTCTTTTTGTCAAAACCAAAATCACCACCTTAACTTAAGATTTAACTGGAAACAAAAAATGTAATTGAAAACTGACTTTTATCCAGCACTGGGAAACCTTAATCCTGATACTAATGCTTACTATACATATTACTTTTACGTAATTTTTTTTTGTACCTTAACATTCACTTCTAAAATTAGACAATTAAATTAGGCGTTTAATTTTATTATTTATTATCAATGACGTCATTTTTATTCTGTAACATTTTCCAACTTTCAGCATTTGATTCTTAATTCTATTTTTTAATTCAACAATCAATGACACCATTCTGTTTTGTGTATAGACGTTAAATGTAGATATTGCCACAATACTTTATCTGGTAACCGTGATCTACTCGTAGTTACTGCACATTCATACAAAATATTGTTGTAGTCATACCCTTAAACCTTGACAAAAGTCGCATTCAGTTTCTTTCAGACATCTCTTCAGGGGAGTGGGGCTGAGCCCCTGAAGAATGTCTACACACACTCACACACCCGGGAGAGAAAAGTCTGAAAGAAACACTGGTCACATTTGTAGATAATACAGACTAAATGAAGACCCAACATCTATAATCTAGACTAATTACCTACTATTGACCGCTAAACCTCAATCATGCAGACCGTGATTCTTTCATTCAGACTTTTTTTTCTCCTCACTGTCATTTCCTTTGTTTTCTCTAGAGTGTTCCAGACTGTCAGACAGAATAGCATACCATAGTGATATAAAATATCCCATTACAACACAATATAATACATGACCATGGTAAGACACTGGTCATCAGATTAAGAAATTACATTTTTTTAATACAACTTGTCAGCAGCTTTTGTTGCCCACTTCATAAATTGGGTTTAACACCTAGTGGTGACCTAAAGTTCCCTTTCAAACCTCTGTCTATGGGGCAAGTGAAGTAGAATTCACCTGTTTCTGAAACCTCTACATTTGCAAGGATAGTGTGGTAAACACTTTGTCCAGCTGCCTTAGCTTTCCATAATGTGAGTCGGGTACCCATCAAAGTTGGATGGACTCAGGGACCTTTACAGACTCCACTATTGAAGGGCAATTCCTCACTCATCATGTTTTTTTCTGGAATTTTTATGATAAAGCAAACTATATAACTAGCCATCCTGACCGGGCCCTACACTGGCCTCTGTGAAAAACCTATCAGTAAAGGACTATGCCTTGTGGGTTTATTTAGCAGCAAATACCCAGCATGGAAGTTTGACAAAAGAACACATAACCCTAAACCCAATTCTAACTTTAAACTTTACAATAACCACAACCAACAAAAACCAAAACACAAACACAAAAAGAAACGCAAACAGTAACACAAAACAAAAGCAAACGCAAACGTTAACACAAACAAAATACAAACACAGAAAAACGCAAACCATAAGGCCGAACATAAAGACAAATTTAAATGCAAACATAAACGCATAGTGCTCACATTATAGCACCGGACGCCAAATGGCATCCTGCCAGGGCGCCGGCGGAACTACCTGATTCAGCTTTGTAAATGACTATAATACCTCTTCTTACCCATAGTCTATTGAACACACTAAACCAAACATAGGTGCTATAGCGCTCACAGGAAGGCCCGGGGTGCCAAATAGCACCTTGTCTGGCAACGTAGGATGCCCATATTTGATTTAGTTACCTTTCTTATCCATGGTCTGTCCCACTGTTTAAAACGAACATATGCTCTGTAGCCCTTACAGCACGGGTTCCCAACCTGGGGGTCGCGAAGGGCTTTCTGGGGGGTCGCCAACTGGTATACTAAACCTTAGTAATTTGAAAAAAAAACATAAATATTTAGAAGAATTTCTGAAATTCGGCTTTACTAACAACACTGGAAAGGGAATAGAGAAGAAGCAAAGCGTACTGTACAAAGTTGTTCTCAGTCACGAGTTTATGAAATCTTCAAAACTAAAACGTCATTTGAGACGAGTCATTCGAAGCACACCAAAAAAGATATGGAGTTCTTTCGTCGGTATGAAGCTAGTTGCAAACGTCAGAGACTTGATCGAACAGGAAGTTTTCACCAAGGAAACACAGCATTAGTGCAAGCATCACATGAAGTCGCGACAGAAAATGCCAAGCGAAAACAAACACAATAGGAGAAAATCTCATCAAACGCTGCATGTTGAATATGGTGAAGTTAATTCTTACATGTCCGTAGATGTTAAATAACACATTTTTATTTAAATCAAACATTGTTTGCTTTTCAAGTTGATAAATCAACAGACGTGAGTTCGTGTTCGCAGTTGCTGGTCTTTGTCTATATTCATTCAGATGATAGCAAAGAAGAGTTGCTCTTTTGTGAAAATAGCATGGAGAAAATAAATAGTATTTTTTTTAAATTGGATGATTAAAATGGGTTAAAACGGCTGTGAGGGTTTGTGCGGATTGTGCACCATCTATGTTTAGGTCAAAGTCGGGCTTTCAGAAAGCAGAAAAGATTTCGCTCCATAACCACTACCCTTGCCAATCGCCATCAAGACTCCATTGCTGGTATAAGTAGTTAATTATATAAAATCTGGAGCCTTCAAAGAACTGAGCAAAGACCTGAATAAAGATCACGAGGTTCTGCTCTTCTACACTACAGTGCGCTGGCTGTCAAACGAATTGTTGTGAATCGTGTTTTTAATTGAAATCTGAAATCAAATTGTTCTTGGAAATGCAAAGGAAACAAGACCTTTCGGTATACTTAGAACGACATAGAGTGGTTGGAGAGAGTATCATACCTAGCAGATGTGTTCGAACATCAACATAAGCATAACCCGAAGCTTCAGGGAAAATGAACGAATATTATCACTCTCCATGATTATCTCGGGGCATTTTATCAAAGCTGCAAAATCGACAAAGAAAATAAATCTTGGAAATATTGTAAATTTGAGAAACTCTGCAGTGTGGTAGATGAATCTAATTGTGAGATAATTAAAAGTTTTGAAAGAAGAAATTTCTGGGCATCTTGAATCAAGTGAAAACGAACTGCAGCGCTATTTCTCTGAGCTGAAAAAAAACAAGGTAATTAAAAAGTCTAGTGACAATTTTAGCGCAATTTCCTTATGTTATCTAAAAATAGCTCTGTCGTAGCGTAAATCAAGAGCAGGGTTAGTAAAACCATTGGTTAAAATACATGTTTTATTTACAATAGAGTTACATGACTAAAAACCATTGCGCGCCTAGCTACTGAACGTGATGACGCAGCCATTGAACGTGATGGCGCAGCTATTGAACGTGATGACGCGTGTGGTGTGGTTGGAAAAAATGCCTACTAATTCTGTCCAAATTTTAATAAATTAAAAAAAATTTTGTGACCGAACGAAAGGATATTTTTGCAAACTTTCTTCGGCAATATTGTTCTAAATTATGACAGAAATCGATTGGTACATGTTTCAAGTCGCTAAGTTGTCTGGTTGCTGAGATATGGGCCAAAAACGGCTTTTTGTCGAGGTTTTTTGGCTTTTCCGGGATATCCATGAAAGAAACCCGGAATTTTTTTGGCCTATGTTCATCCTGGTCACTTGCTTAACATAATTGCTTTTGGAACTAGTCATCGATATTGCTTCGTTGAGGAGGAGATACGACTTAAAGCTGCAGACACACATCCATCCATCCATCCATTCTCAGAAAAGACGAGTTAATAAACGCAATTCTCCAGAATGGAAATTGCGCTAAAAAGAATCTGCATTGACGCATTATCCATTCTCTTCTTCCCTCGATGTTGCCAGCATTCACGATGAATTACAAGATGAATTATTTGATTTGTAGAATGATTTCGCGTAAGATAAAAAACGGCACACTCAATGTTGGTGTAGTATTCGCCATTCACACCAAAACGTAAAATTGATTGACTTTTCGAGAATAGATTTTCAACACTATTTTTCGATTAAAAACAAAATTAAGATAATGATAATGACATAGGTTGGCGTTAACAAAAAAAAAATACTTTAAAAAAGTTAACCGCGAATGTTTAGTGAATAGTATGCAATTTTACTCATGGTATTAAAACAGTTATCAAGAGTAGTTCATATTGAAAGTCTACTAGAAAATGTTATTTTAGTGCTTATTAATTTCCATACTAATTTCGGCTTTTTAATTCTATGGGGGTCGCGGGTCACTTAATTTTTATAAAAGGGGGTAGCCACTCGAAAAAGGTTGGGAACCACTGCCTTACAGGATAGCCCAGGGCGCCAAATCAAACCCTGCCAGGGAGCCAGCGGACTGTAATACCCCCAGCTTGTCCGCAAACCAAAAGATAGAAGTAAACATAGAGTACATTTAGAAGCAGCTTCTTAACTGATTTCAAATAATAATTAGTGTTCAGTATATTTTTTTAATTCCATGTGACGTTAATTAAAATGGTTCATTTGGAGAATGGAATTTTTTAAAATACCTTCAGTATTTTTTAAAATCAGTTATTTAGATAAAAACGCTTTAAGTATATTACACTATGGAGATCCAGTTCAGTTCTTATTACTATATGCATGTCTTACCACAGTCCACCACAGAGCACAGAATAATCCGTTTGATTTTTATATGCGGGACAACACCATGTATATCCACCCCCTCCCTCCCTCTCAAGGCATGCGCAACAGACCATATCATATCACTACCACCCCCACCAGTGTGGTGAGCTGTGGTTCACGCTGAATTTTTACAGTCAAAGAGCCGTGTCGAATTAGGGGCAGATAATTTAGTTTTTAATCGATTTGAAACTAAGGGTAGATAACAGTTCTGCTTGGTCTTTTCATAGGCGTCTGTAAACTGTCGTCACCAGGCTACCTTCACTGGGGAGGAGGGTGAGGATAATCATCCTTCACAAGCTAGTGTTTTAAAGCAAAATATTTTCAGTCACAGTATTGGTTGAACTCACAAATTATGAATTACTGAAAAGTAGAAAATAAAACAACTAAATAGCGGCATATGCTACTGATCGGCTCGTACAATATAAATCAAGTACTTTTGTCATCATAAGTTTAAAAAAAAACATTTGGGGTTTAAAATTTAACAATTCTCATATGGTCTATCTTCATATTA